ATTCCAGTACCACCGGTGACGACTGTCGAGCGTCGTCCGATGCCACCAGCACCGCCGTCGCCACCATTGGCAACGCTACCGCCGCGACCACTGCCTTCGAAGCCAATTCCAGTACCACCGGTGACGACAGTAGTATCGCGTTTGGCGATGCCGCCAGCACCTCCATTGCCGCCATTGCCCTTGCGAGTGTTACCACCATCACCACCGTTGGCGACGTTGCCGCCACGGCCGCTACCTTCGAACCCAATGCCAGTGCCGCCAGTAACGACAGTGGTATCACGGCTGTTGACGTCAACAGTGACGGGAGCCGCTACAGCCAGCGCTGCGGAGCCGAGAGCAAAGATGATTGAGTACTTCATGTTTGTTGATGAGGAAGTTTGATAGTAATCAAGATTGAGAGTAGTTCCAGCTAACTGTGAAAAGAAAGTAGTCGTCAAGACTGATTGCGATGAGAGAAGATGAGAGGAGATGAGAGAGTGGTTGATGTGTGATGATGACTTATCGAAGAGAGCCAGTGTTGATTTATATATTCGCGTGGAGAGAGTACCAGCCTCGGTTGACAGAGTATAGTGACATGTTTGAACAGTACACTGACGTGCTTCAACAGACCTACTCTGCACTGACGGAGTCTGTGTCAAACAACCATGTCATGAAGATCCTGACAGCTTTGACGTGCACGACAGTGGACATGAGTAGGGTGAATTGAGAGATGATCAGGTGAGAAGCGAGGCTACCGTGACGATACGAGTATCGATACAAGGTAGTGTTTAGGAAAGCCCTAAACTTAGAAAAACAATTGTAGTACTAAACGCACCACTAGTCCATTTAGGGTAACGTTCAGTGAGACCGTGAAGAGCATGAATTAAAGCTTAAAGCCTCAAAGACGTTCTTAATGCAGTCTTAGCTGGATTAAGCTTTTGCTTGGAGTAACTAAAACGGTAAAACAGTCTTGGCACATCGGTGCTATTCGGGCTGACATGTAACAAGAGTCCAAACAGCAGTAGCAGAAATCCCCCAGAAACCGCCGAGCGCGCATTGGATCGGACGAATTCCGCTGCGGAGAACAGACACCGCTCCGTAGGCTTACCGAGTGGCTCCTGTTGAGTAATTACTTTGAATGGTTTAATATACTGTGTAAACAAACTAGAGTAAGGCGTCAACGTATGACCCTACTGTCGACACAGAATCCATAAATCTTGAAGTCCCCTCTCTACGGCCACGGACACATTGAAGAACCTTGACTTTCGGTAAATCTGGGGTTAACTACCGTCATTCGGCGCGCATCACGGACATATAGGCGGAATATTGCTTCCGCGCGCGATATGCTATTTCTCGTACTCGTCGCAGAGACCATGTGCCTATCCACTCCCATGATCGTCCGAGGCCGAGCGCAGGTGGATGCAACCGAAAACGAGTCCGTGTCCAATCGTTTTACAACCTTGATGCATTGAAGCAGCAGTTACAGCGGGCTCTAAAGACATGCCTCCTAGTAATTCCCAGATGGGCAAAGCGTGGCACTGCTATTTGCGGGGTATTTCCATACCTAAAGCATTGAATTAAGCTTCTTAGCACGGGTCTTGGCACATGCTTACTATGTCAAGTTGCTGGCTCCAGGCACTATAGCTGAGACGAACCTGAGCTAGACGAGTGTCTCGTTACAGGTACTTACTACAGCTGACACAAAGCTGCGCTTAACTCATCAATACGTCCCTGAGCCTTGTGTACGCAAGTGCCGAGATCTGAGATCTTGTTCACCATCGCTACCGATAAGACTTTCCAAATTATCGGCTTCAAAATCCCGCAAGATGGTTGTTAATCCGTTGCATGGTGAGCTTCTAGTATACTAAAACTCAGATGCCGAAATACAAGTAATTCACCAGTCCACATGAATCGGCCCTCCTCTAGTCCTTCTTTCTACCCCAGAAGATCCCTCACAACTGCTAGCCCCCCTATTTCCTTCCCCTCAGACGGCCTTTCCACGGGTATACATGACGTAGCATCTGGTGGATGCGGTGGCTCAGTTCGGCAAAGTTTCCAGAACGACTGCACTAGCCTCCCTACTAATGCATTATGTATCTCAATCAGCCACCTAGTTACCAGAACGATCTACTTTAATTTCGAAATAAACCTCGGCAAACTCAAATGTGGCTAAGCCAGGTAATGACGCCGCATCGCCACACTTGCTACAACACTGGGTCCTCCTTCCTAATGCACTTTACCATATGACTGACGTGTTTCGTATTTGACACTCGAGGGGTTTTGAACCCTTCGAGATGACGAATATTGTCGTGATCGTTCGTATTCGATAGAGGACTAGGTTGCTGATCGCAATCATGTGAGGAGGAGCAATTATTCCGCGACAGTGACGAATAAGTGACGGATAACGGCATTTGTGATGGGAAGGCTGTCAATAGACTTGATGCTACTAGTGTCAGTTGTAATTCATGTCATATTGACAGAAGAATTGGTTAAGTCCCTCAAGACATATAGCATCCTGTGTGCATATAAACCACAGGAAAGTCCCCCAACCAACTTTTTTTTCAGCGGAGCTTTGACTAGCTTCTACTTCTTCTACCTTCATTCTCACTCTATAATTCCTCCCCTCTCCTTATCTCACTCTTGCCAAACGGCTCCCACTTCACTGTTTCTTTTGGCTATATCTCCAACTCAATACAATGAGATCCGCCGTCGTCCTCTCTTTCCTTTCAGCAGTTGCCTTAGGGGCACCCACCCCAAACCCTTTGAGAATCGGCTCAGAAAGTCCGGGTTCTGAACATAAACGAAGCCCCGCCAATCCCAATGTAGACGACTCCAAGTTCTCAATTGGTCTCGGCATTCCGGCTGTTGTCGTCGATGGACACCCCATCAAGATCCCTCATGTGAAACGTGATCCTGCCGATGATGTGGACGACTCCAAGTTCTCAATCGGTTCCCACTCAATTATAACTGGAGGTCCTGCTGTTTCCATTGATGGCCATGCCAAAGGAGGGTCTGTAGGAAATGTAATTGATCCATATTTCGCTTCGTATTTGTATTTTACTGACTGATCTTGTTTAGGACCCTGGTTCGTCTATTCATATTCTCATTCGAGACCCTGAGCCAAATCTTGCCAAGAAGCGCAGCGCCGAGATTATAACTGGAGCTTCAGCTATTGGATTTGGTACGTCAGCTACAGGTGGAAGCGTGAGTCTCTCTGGAGATTCAAAGGGCAAGGATGGTGCTTGCAAAAATGGTAAGCATGGTAAAGACGGCAAAGACGGCAAAGACGGTACAGAGGGTGCCGGTATTGCCAATGTAAGTCTTCCATTTTAGGCGGGTGCTGATTGCCAGCACGACACTTTATGAATCATGCAGCTAATGTTCAAGCAGGGTGGCAACGGCGGTGATGCATTGGTGCCCGGCAGTCGTGCCGGCAACGGGGGGAACGGTGGCATTATCATCAATCCCTAGATAGTTTACACAATATGGATGAATGAAGGGCGAGACACGCGTACTGTCTGGAACATTGAGTTAGATAGCCTTTGTAAGGTCGTTGACAAACATCATTTTAAGCGTACAGATCGTTCGAGAAAAAATATATCGCAATATAGTCAGGTGACATGACCCCGTCTATGACCTATTTGATCTCGAATATAATGCGCAATCATCAGCACAAGATTACTTACAAGTCTCTCCGTTGCAACATTGTTTGTCTGGTGTTGGCCTTGATAGTATTGCACTCCTTGTCGACGGATACATCCCACTCAAAGAACCTTTTCACAGTAATAAAGTACTGGCGCGCCAACTCAGTACAGGTTTATTAATTCGCCCCTGTCAAAGTCGTCGTCGTATCTGCGAATAACATCACCTAGTGCGCTATTTACACCTTAGTGAAACAGTGCGAGGATGATAGGAACCCATGCTAGCCGGGTGAGCATAGTTATCACGAAAATAGAATAAGACAACAAGATTTTTAGATAGCACTTCTAGTCGAAGGTTTTCAATACATGAAGCAGATATATCTCTTTGTTAACAAAATCTCACAGAACCAAAAGGCCGCTAACTTTAGGCGGCTATCCCTTGCGCACGGCGCACTTTCATGGATCCATGTCAACTTTAGGTTCGGCTACGGTGCGTTCCTGCCACATCCCTGCCGAGCCGCCCCATCAATAAAAAGGTAGCTCATCCTCCTAGTAGTGCTTGGAGTCGCCTCGGGTGGTTAATTTCGGGCTGCGCTAAACATTGTCCGGGTAAATGATTAGCGAGGGGTGAAGACGATATGTAAGAGTAAGAATCTGCCCCGATTCATAGTAGCTTACCCATCCACTTTCTCACCCGACACTACAACGATCCCTCTCCAGTTTCCCATACGCCCATTCACGCCGCTATCATTCCTTCCCAATTGGTGCACGACTGCATCCGTATGGACCTCTTGTACCGGCTACGCTGGAATCTGTTGGCCGACCTAAGTGATATCAAGATTGTCTCGGGGCCCAAAAATGGAGAGGAAATCGGTCCGTTTTTCGAGCATGCGGATGCGGATGCAGACTTCGGCCTGCCTAGCGTGAGCCGTATCGAGGTCAACAGTCGCGAATGTGACGAGAAATTTCGACTCTCGTACGATAGTGAGCCCGAGGAGGACGGCTATCGACCTCCGCCCCCACTCATCATCCAAAACGAGGATGGAGGGTCGATTACATTCAGGCAGTTCGTCACCGAGGTCCATGCATATTTGAACGAGCACTTGGATGAAGTCAAGAAAGCTCAGCGAGTAATGGCCGCAGAGCCTTGGTCGGAGACACTCTTGTACTTCCGACGCGCTTGGCCATACGAGACTGAGGATGGTAACGTCGTTGTCTATGTCGAGATGATGCCCCGCGCGGCAGATGCCAAATTCAGGGACATACTTTGGAACCAACAATTAACAAAGGCTCATGAGTATGAAAGGAAGATTCAGGGCCGTCGATTCCGCCTTATCAAGCCGAAATAGTCGAATGACCAGACTGGCCGAATGCGATATCCATCACCATTTGAGATCCTGCAAGCTAAAGTGTCAGGAGATTGTATCTAAGCGCCCTGGATCAGATGGGATACTGCAGACTAGTTTTGAGTGTGAACGCATGTCTGACCAAGCCACGTCTATTTGGGATATAGCTCATCTTTCAAATGTGCATTTCCAATCTCAGGAGTGTATACTGACAATGTATTCAATGTCGAAATATTGCAAGTGTCTGTCAGATGTCTTGAGTGTGTGATCTTGAGTCACAATGGTAGCCTTCATCCAACAACGTAACCAACAAAACGTTGACTAACGGCACCACTCCAAGACGGTAAGGCGAAGTTTGCTGGTTGGCATGTTGAGGATCCTGAAAATGCCTACGGATGTTTGGTTTGCAAAAGCGTGTAGATGGCCCCATTCAATGTGGCCCAGGCTAACCCCGCTTAGACGAATCATGCTGTAGTGAGGAGGGCGAGTGCGGATATACAGCAGCCCAATGTGCACCGGAGAGCTGCATATCAAAATGCGATGCAAAGGCCATGTGTGGTATCGACTCAGCTGATGGAAGAGCGAAGAGCGGGCTTAGGCTCTGCTGCTCAAAATACGGATCGTGCGGAACAGAAGATGTCCATTGGAAGACCCCATAGCCGTTGATTGGCAAGACGTAAGCATATACAGCTTTCCTCCCACCTTTTCTGTTGCTTAACACACTCTAGACCATGTTAGCAAGGATTCGGATCCTGTGAGATCATAGGCGTCATCTCGAACGTCTGAGTATGGAAGAAGGCGAATGTGATAGGCCACGTGTGTTGATCTGACGAGAGGTTACCTTGTCGCATACGTGCTCACGGGTGTTCCATCCTTGGTGGTACCCAATCCGACGTCCTTTTAACGTGCTAGAGTCTTTGCCACATGAAGGCGATAACTTGAACTCCGATGATGTTCATTTGTATGGCGAGTTTACTGCATTCAAGCGCAATGGTCTCCAGACCTGCATCGCGATCGAAGGCTAGTTTTTTAACGATCCTGGTCCCCAATATACAAAGCCTAGACTGACATGGGGTTCACTGAAGCGAGCCGAGGAGCCTTAATCCAATCTCTCATCAAGTCCATGGATACGTACGGCTGTCAAGGCGCGGATATCAATTTGAAATATCCTGCTGAGCCGAAGCGCGGAGGTCGTAAAAAGGATACTGACAACCTCGTACTCCTCATGAACGAGATGAAGGGACAGTTTGGCGAGAGGTATGGTAGGAGTCTTACCATCGCGCCTGACTATTGGTACCTGCACGGCTTCAAGCCAGCCGAGATGCAGAAGTAAGCCAAGTGGATGGCATTCATGAGCTATGATCTGCATGGTCGCTAGGACAATGACGTTAAGACGTTGGGATCAAGAGTGCGCTCCCAAACCAACATCACTGAGATCAAGAAGAATCCTGAACCGCTGTGGTTTGACGGCGTTGATCCTGCAAAAATCGGCATGAACCTCGCATACTCTAGACGTGCGTATACACTAGCCGATCCAAGCTGTAGTAAGTTAGGCTGCAGCTTCATCCTGGATGAAGGGGATGCAGCTGATTCTTGCACTAATTTCTTGGCGTGCTCTCTACCCGCGAAAGCAAGAGGATTATCAAAGGCGAAGGCGTAACACCATACTTCAATAAGACAGCTATGGTAAGGTGTCTTGGCTACCAGGGTAACATCTGGGTAGGCTACGACGAAGCGGAGACTTACCTATGCTACGAAAGAAACTTTCGCAAATTCGTACTGTCTTGGTAGCATTATAATATAGTCGATTGACTCTGACGTCGTCTGACTTTGACATAGTTGATTAACGTCGATTCATAATTGATTGACTCCAATACATAGTTGATTGCCTTCGACGTATAGTCTATTAGTTTTGATTGACTTCGACGTGGGCGCTGGGCTTTGACGTGGACTGGCTTCGACGTAGTTAGCTAACTTAGACGTACGGTCGACCAACTTTAATATAGTTAATTAATGTCGACGTATGATGGGTTGAATCTGATGCATGGTCGATTGCCTGCGACCAACTTCGATATACTTTAATTAACTTTGACGTAGTTAATAGGCCTTGACGTGGACTAGCTTTCATATACGGTCTACTAACTTCGATACATGGTTAACTACGCCGACGTCAGTCGAAGTCCGTCGAAGTCCGTTGAATAACTCAGACTAACCTCTACTTATGGTCGACTGACTTTCATGAACTCTGACTAGCGTCGGCGTTGTTGACGGGCTTGAACGTATGGCTAACTAACCTTAACGTATAGTCCACCGTTCAAATCAGCTTATCTACTACCTGACTTTACGTTACATGCATCGCATCAGGCACACGACGTACAACCTGACCAGGACCAGTATCGAATAATGAACTTGATCCCTAGAACAGTAACAGTCCAGGTGGAGGTAGAGGCGGCGGCGGCGGCAACGGAGGAGGTTGCAAGCTCCTCATTTCCCCACCATCACCGCCACCCAGGATTTCCTTCCCCTACCTAATTATCAGTCATAGTCCTCCTAAATCAACCATCACTCCTTATACATGGCCGACACTTAATTGCTCGAAACCCGGTCCACCGCCAGGCCCCAGTCCAACACCCGGGGGCGGCATGTCCATCATCCCGCCCGGCGACAACAGAGAAGACGACCAAGAAGAAGAGAACGCAGGAGAGGAAAAAGGGAGAGCCTACGCCACAAGAAAGCGACCCACTAAAACCGTCGGCGTCACCATCTCCGCAACAAGCGTAATAACCGTCATCGTCACGCCAACCACAGTGACAACAGCGACAACAACAAAACAGCAGCCCCCACCCGTAAAACGCCCGACTTTGCAAAGATAAAAGGCGCTGCTACGATGGTGTCAGCCAATAGACCCGCCGCGCACGCATAATCAGCAGTGCAGTCAAACACTGTGATCAATCGCTTAAAGGCAGGCAAATAACCAAAAAATTGAACGCGGACGAAGTTAAACGCCAATACGTTTGCGAAATCTCCGAAATCATCGCTATAGAAACTATCGCATTCGTTGAAGTCGTGCCTGATTTGGGGTGCGAGTGTGTGCAAGACGGAGTTTTGGAAGGTTATTGATAAGTGTAATGAGGATGGGGAGCATAGGAAACAAGGGGAGACGCTCTCTGGAGAATGTTTGAATTGGCGGTTGGATCTGAATACTGAATAGGGATTATTCAAGATTTGGGTCGCTGGAAGAAGGGGGTTTCTTTTTCTTGTCTAACCTTTTGTGCGTTGAAATAGAGGGAGCGTGTAATGTGGGTAACACAATGTTTGTGAGCCAGGAAAGGGACATTATCACAGAGGCATTGAGAGCGGATCTGGGAACAAGGAGAGAAGACGCGGAGAACAAGTCATAGTAAAGACGAGAGCATATTTTCTGTCTTTTTGGCATTTGTTATTACAGACCATGTATGAAAGCTTCTTTGGCCATTCCCTGGCTATTCAAGTCTTCGAAGGCTTTGTGGCTCATGATGATTTCCCGATAACAGCCTATTCTTTCTCATTGTAGATGATTGGAGTAGAGAGCTACAGACAATCCCTAGTAGGGCAAGGGCGGGCTCTAACTACGGTCATCATTCCCACAACCTGGCGGCTTCCCAACGAGAGGGAGGCCACGTCTGCTGAGACAGGCTACACATCGACTCTCATTGTAGACGAAGATGCGGAGTCTTCGTCAAGAGTAAACATGTGAGGATACTATGCAGGATGAGGCGCATGCCTTTGTAAGTTAACCAGGGCTTCAACAGTCAACCCACTCTTCCTCTTCTTCTCTCCTTCTCCCCAGCAGCCTCTTGTCACTCCTCCCTAGCCGTTTCCCCGTTCTTTTCAACGTGCCCATTTTCTTTCGCTTCTGCCTGCTGAATTCTTTCGCAATCATCTTTCGCAGTTTCAGTTTCTTCACGTCATAGAGTCTATCACAGAGCTCTGATAACCGCTCATTGACGTCGTTGCTCAGCACATCTCCTTCTTCCTTGCACTTTGTGAAAACATCCTCGATTTCACGCCCAAGATCTTTGATAGTGTCCTCTTTCAACAGCGCAATGTCTGCTTTATGCTCCTCCATTTCGTTCATCATTTCTGCCGTTTCATGGGCTCGTGCATCGTACGCTTCGTTCCAGACCTCATCCAGCTTTTTATCAACAAGTTGCTCGAAATGCTGTAATTGGCGGGCCTGGTATTGCTGAAATTGCTGAGCGAGATGGACGCGGAGGTGGGGAATCCATGTCTTTCCCAGTAGTGTCAGGGGCGGTAGCTTTGGATATTTGTTGCCGAGACAATCAACAGAGGTGAATGAAGAGGCTGGTGAGCCAATATGGGTCTTGGGCGCGCCAGCGAGCAGACTTTCGAGGACGTCAGGAAGGACCTTCTCAAGATACGCAGGCAGTTGTTTGCTGACCGCCGCATTGATAGCCTCAGTCTGATAGTCAACTTCGGGCGACACCTGCGTGAATTGTTTTATCAAAGCATCAGCTGTAGCCGGGCTCAGCAGCACGGTAGTGTCAGAGGTGTCGGATTTAGCAGGCGATTGGGGCGCGAAGCGTTTCGGTGACTGATTGGGTGACCCCAGGCTTGCTGCGGATGTTTAATTAATTGCCAGAGTTTGGACGGGGACAGAACTCACTCTGCCTTGGCCGCTTACGAGGATTATCATAAGCAGGCGGCGCCCCAATATCGTCAACAGGGCAGAAGACCTCCCAGCTTGCCCTCCTCAGCCCTTGTTTAATGAGTGTTCCATCGATTGGATAGCCAGCCAGGCCCCTCGCAGCTTTGCTAAACGCCTTGAACATACCCTGATGTTCCTTGCGCACATACTTGTAATCGAAGGCGACGTGAATCGTGGTTGCTTTGGTGAGTTCTACAAACTCGCGGAAAGAAGAGTCATATCCAGGCTTGGGACTGAAAGACATGGCGGCCGGACACCAGAGAGGACATGACTGGTCAACGCTCAGGGTAAGAGTCTTGATGTCCCAATGCTTGTTATCCTTGTTTCGCAAGAGCTCGTCCAGCTGTGGTCGTGGAATATGGCTATTGCCACTAGTGAGCCTGACAGTGCCAGACAGCAGCTTGTCAGCATCGTACTGTAGAGCGAAGAGCTGTATATCATGGGTTGTGAGGATTTTGACTACGAGCAAGACTGTCGCCTGCTTGGACGTGTCATCACACCTAAAGATTAGAGAACATGGGCACGGCGATACAGGATCCGAGATGTTCGGTACAGGATAGGCGAGCGCCTTGAAACCACAGTTGAAAAAGTTCATATTATTAGCTATCCAAGATGCCCGCTGAACTCACCAAACCCCCTTGGACGACAAGGGAACCCACCCTCCCAGGCTTCGAAGCAGCCTTGACTTTGTATATGTCGCATCCACCGCCAGCACCAGGTACGCGACCCCAGCAATCAATCGAAAGCCCACCCCGCTAATGGCAGCCGACGGACGCGCAGTGCGATGCAGAGTCGCCCGCCTTTGCCACCAGCGGCCTTGTGAAGTTCGCAAGGATGATGGGCCTAAGTCGAGTACTTGATACGCGCAACAAGTGGGAGCGAGGATGGAGGGATATTCGGTTCGTTAAGTATGTACGTAGGTGCTGTATAGGTGCGATCGGGGAACCTGTTGGTGAATGTTGGTGACGAAGTCGAGGGCTGGTGGCTGGGGATGCGCGTTGGCTTGGCAGACAGTCATGGGCCGTGCATAGTTTACATAATATGTCACTTGCGGCTTTCGCGTACAACCCGCCAAGACCTGAGCGTTAGTGCGAGGCCCGCTCGATTTGGCAAAAGTGTTGCTCTGGTATCCATGTCAGTAATGCACAGCTGAATAGTAAGGCCACATGGGCAGTGTCATAACACTATTGGTGCTGCGCGTTCATCTGGCCGCGATCCCGTAACCACGAAGACGAGACGCGTTGGCGAATACAAGAGTGAGCTACGTTGTTCCATTGACTGTAACGAACAGCTTGAAGCATATAGCAAGTCTAAAAAAAGCCTCAGATTTGAAACCCTCGTACTTCTACAGTTTTGAATCTCAATGCGAGGTTAGCAAGCTTTACTTTCCACTCCGTAGTGAATTCCATATCTTCCAACAACGTATTCTCTACAATCACTTTGCCTCCATACGCATGATGCAGCTTGATATGTTCGGGCCAGTTGAAGTCGTCATTCTTCTCACGTACGAGGAAAGGTCTTCCATCTTTCAGAATGACTTCGTAGTTGTCGTTGTGTTGGTAATCTTTGAAGTGGCCGGTTACGTACCGCCCTTGAGCTGTTACTACAACACAACAGTGCCAAGGTTGGAATCCAAAACCATCCAATTGGGGTATCAAAGGAACCGGTATCTTGGATTCGCCCGTAGATCGATGAATAGAAAGCCTGACGTGATCGGGAAAGGCAGCTTCCAAGGCTCTTTCATAAGCCTAGAGGGTACATTGTGAGCCCAACACTCAAATCTAAAGCAAGAATGCAAACTCACAAGCAGGCGCTCCGTCATCTTGACTGCAACTTTCTTAGTCTCCTCAGTGTATCTCTCCCTATTATTCTTGATTGCTGGATCAAGATCTGGACCCCATCGCAAATCCTCATCCGTGAGCTTGACGTACGCTTGGTATGTGAGGTTTGTGTCTTTGTGATTTTCAATCTTTTCCTTCATCTCTGACTGATCGGGCAGAAATCTAGCTTCCATTTCGGCCCGGCAAGTATCAGCTAAGGCTATATATTCATCCTTGGGCAATGAATCCCCATCAGCAATCCCAAGTACGTCCGCCAGGCGTCGAAATCGGATGCGCGTGAATTCTTGATCTGCTGCAATCTTTCGTAGTTTGACACCATAATCATAGAAATCAGAACCAGGTATACACAGCAGATCTAACAACGAAGGATTAGTAGAACGCACATATTGTCCATCGAGTACAGCTCACCGTTGTAGACAGGACCATCAGATACTATCGTAAGCTCCGCGCCATAACGATACACTTTCGCCAACTCATTGCAGAGGTGATCGAGTCTTGCCAAACCCAGCTCTTCCGCAAAATCTGGGTTTTTAGTGTCCAAAACTTTCAATGGGGAAGAGTTCTTGAATGGGGCCGCGGGCAAGAGTAATGGGATTGGACTCCTAGATTTGTAACTGAGTTCAATCTTGGAAGCAGCAACTGTTCCGTAGCCATGCGTTTCGTTTGGTTGCTTCTGGCCTTCAAGTTGAGAGAAGCGTCGAAGAACAGCAAGAACAGCCTCGATATTCAATGATCTGGCATTGGCCATGGTTGGGAGATTTCGAAAGGATATGGCGAACCAAGTTGTTTACATATATGAATCTAATAGCTGATCTTTTGAAAGACAGGGAAGGAAAGACGGCGTAAGAGAACCTATCCGCTGTTTTCTGTCAAGGATACTTTGAGGGCCCGGCCGTTTTTTTTGCGACTCAACACACAACCCAAGGAGAGTCAGCAAGTCAGAACAAGTATTGCACAATCGATAATCATGGTGGTGGGGCAGCGACAGCTGGCCTAAGTACAGGATACTGAGCCAAGGTGCTATGCCCCATCGAGTAAGGCTCAATGTGATAACTACAAGAGTGTGTAAAACAAACATCAAAATAAGAAAATTATGGGATGCGGACTTGACTCACGTTGTGAGTTGAAGAAGTTTATGATTTATTGGTTTTTTACTTTTTGGAAAAGAAGAAACACCAAGCTCTGACGCTGGCAACCCATATTGTGATGCAAACACCTGACCTGCGGGCACTTTTCAGCTAGAGTTACACATAGCTTATTGAAAAATGAGGTTGCAGTTTGTCCAGAAGGAGCAGAAAAGCCCTGGAGCAATTCATGTAAGCCATCATCGACGTTGAGCAAGGTGAAGTTTGTACTGATTAAGCCAGTCATCTATAACGATGCGAGAAGAGAAATTGCAATCATAATAGACCATAGAGGTGTAAATTATCCTATAAAAGATTATTTTCTACTAGTTTACAGCCCTGAGAACTAATTGGGGCTTGGTTTTGGCTTCGTGATGGCTGCTAACACGTAGGCTAAGCAGCCCGCCAATAGCGTGGCGCCTCCAAACAACTGAGCATATAAAAAGTTCCCATCATGAATCGCAACAAGTTGTGCTCCAATAACTGGTCCTGTGAGACATGATACGCTCACGATACCAAAGACCATGCCAACCTTGGTGCCCACTCTTGTCGGATCAGTACTTAAGTCTCCAGTAGCTGCTGGAAAGAGGCTCTGGGTAGCATTGGCCGCAATGCCGTAGATAACAGCCCATCCAAACAATCCCTCAGTGGAGGATACACCTGCCCAACCAAATAGCAGTAGCCCACTAATCCCAGCTACAGGGATAAGTGTTCTCAGTATTCCAAAGTATCGATCAGCCAGAAATGCTGGAATGACCCGGCCAAGCAATCCCACACCGTTCATGACGATAATGAACAACAAAGATTGGGTTTGGGAGAAATTAAGTATTGTGCGCCCGAAAACACCAATCTGATCTTGTTAGTTTACTGGCATATATCTTTCGCATCGTAGAAGGAAAATAAAAAGACTCACATAGAAGTAAGCGAAATACAACCCCCATAGAGCGAGGAAAGAGCCTATCGTAAATAGAGTGAAGGATCGTTCCTTGAACGCCCGCGTATCAAGAATCGAACGTGGTTTACGGACCGGAACACGGGTCTTGGTAAAGCTGAGAATCATAGCAGCATTGAAGGTCACAACAAAGGACATAATCAGGACGGTCCATCGAAACCCTACGCGGTTGAGGCATGAGTAGGCAATGAGCGGAAATACCATACCGCCCGTCGAGGCTCCACAAGTGGCCAGAGAAACAGCAACCGCTCTATGCTTCTTGAAATAAGTCGGCAGGATAGAGACGATTGGTGCGAACAAAAAGCCGTGTCCGAGACCGCTGCAGACACCTTGTGCGAGAAACAACTGCCAGTATTTCGTTGATAGGGCAGTCATGAAGATACCCAAGACTTGGAGTGTGCACCCGAGAAGGAGGGTTTGTCTGAAGTACCCCATGTCGACTGTCCTTCCGGAGAAGACGCCGACAAAGTTCAATAGAAACATCTGCAAACCGCCTATCCAGGCAGAGTCTGATGATGATATACCCAGGCTTTCAACATAGTATTGTTGAAAGAAACCGAAACTGGATGCGCGTTTAGCATTAAGTACGATTGGTAGTCATGTTTAAAACTTGGGAACTCACGACGTAATGTATCCCCAGCAGTTGAAGATGACCAAGTGGCCCATGACGACTTGCGTCCACGCCAAAAGACCTCCATCTGGGATTTCCTCGTGCTTTGGGTCTTCGGGGGACGTTGATCGACCTTGCGAAGAAGTTTTCTCCGTTGCCTCGGTGTCTAAACACTGTAGATTAGCCGAGTTTTGGTTACTAATTGCGAAATGAATACCCATTGTAGTTTACTAGGTGCGAATGATTCCAAGTGAAGTTGGTTGATGTGGTTACTCAACAAGTATATCAAAGATCCCCTTGGATCACTTCGGCAACTGAATCGGGATCTGAATCAAACATATAAAGGAAAACGGTTCGCGCTATCTTGATGCAAACAGATGGATATCTCGATCTGGTAAAGTATGGAATTTGGAGACCATCTCATATCAGTTGTTAGAGCCATGTGTACCCAAAAAAGAGTAGTTTTGGGTACAGAGATGCGTACTTGGACGATCTCCACGCTTGGGCGGTCGACAAACTACTGGGTTAAGTTCAACGCAGAACTTGATATGACGCCGTACCAAACTTTGCGCCCTGTTTTGGATACCATGTGCTCACTACTCCAGCACAACGACGTAAAAAGACGGCATCGAGACGATCGCATAATGATGATGTATCAGATTCATTCCCTTTTCGTTGAGATCGTGTGCGCACTGGGCCAGACGTCATATGCGCATCCCCCTCAACAAAAAGAAGTAAACATGCTGCAGCCGGAATGTTCCGAGCGTGATGGGTTAAACTTTCAGGCTATTCTGATGAGGTTGGGTGCACACTACGCATTCTATTCATGGTGTAAAAGGCCAATTATGGATCGGTGATGATACTGTATCCATGTTCTTTCAGCACGACGGCTATATTAGGTAGTATTGCTTAGAATGCGAGATCACCCCCTCAGACATCTATCGCTACCTAGTAACTCGCTTTTGTATTCTTTGCTATGCGCTACAAGTACCTAAACATGACTTTGGTTGTAAGTCTTTTTAAGAATGGCTCTTGGCGTGTCTACGATTCCCCGTGCGCTTCTGGGAAATGTGGGTGAGAAATAGCTTTCCAGATTAGTATCTTATTCCACCCCGGCACCATATCATCAAAATCTGACGGAAGTGTAATCGAGATATCAAAAATCATCTCTGTTCATCTAAGTTTGCTTTTATTCGTACAAATCTTAGGAGAGGAGCTTTGCTCTACATAAACAAGGATCCTATTTTCATCAGAATACATTTGTGCACTTGGGTGATGATTCTCACTTTGACTCTTGCTTTTTACGTAGACCCACTCTCTCGTTCCTGCAGTGCACTGACAGTACACGTTACTTTGTCTGGTTTAATGAACGTAGTAATCCTAAAAGACTCACACACCCATTTTCACTCCAGTAACTTTCATAGCGAATGATGGCTTTCAGATCCCCAGATTTTTGGGTAGCCCTACTCACTACTGTTTCGTCACTCGGGCAAGCTCTTCAAATTACTGGCACTACCGCATATCTCAATGGAGTTCCTTATTGGATTCCGCCAGATGCAGTCGGATCTCTTCAAAGCAATTTTGCGATTTCATTCTTCGAATCGAACAGGCTTGCTTTGAATGGTTTTATGCCAATGACCGTGATATCGCCTGGTCCTGGTGTCTATTCGGATGCTTCTCTCGAGCGTGAACTATCCTACTTTGTGGAAAACGATGATGTTTGGAGCGAAGGCTTTGCCAAGCGTATGAGTTCCTTAAGATATGCTCTTCGATCTTTCGAAACGTACTAACGACTCCTTAGTGGTTTATCTTGAAGCGACTAACCAGAGCCGTGAAAATCTTGGGGCCGATTCCATGCAAATTCGGGGCAACAAAACTATCTTGTTTGCTCCAGAGAAGACGAATGAGGCTATTCCTCGGGGCCCTTACTTCCTGTCGTCTCAAGGTAGCATTCATCAAGCTTACCGGCTTTACTCTGATCACCAAGAAGCTTTCACTGAATCTACGTACACCAATCCTTCCGGAGCGCATTCTGTTCTTCCTGCGCATATAACAGGTAATGGTATTACAATAGCTGTTCCGTCTAGACTTTACTACACGCGGACACCGACTACCCCACTTGCTGGCATGCGTGTTGGTATCAAAGACATTTTTGACGTAACTGGCATAAAAACTGGTAACGGCAACAGAGCATGGTACAACCTATATCCTCCAGCCAATGCAACAGCACCCGTGGTACAGCGGTTGCTGGATGCGGGCGCTATCATTGTAGGCAAGCAAAAGACTGCCCAGTTTGCCAACGGAGAGTACTCAACTTCAGATTGGGTCGATTATCACTCACCTTTCAATCCACGCGGAGATGGCTACCAGGATCCCAGCTTTTCTTCCGCGGGAGCCGGTGCTAGCGTTGCATCGTATGACTGGTTGGATTTTGCTTTGGGATCAGATACAGGCGGTAGCATTCGCGGCCCTGCTCGATCCAGCGGCCTTTACGGATTGAGGCCATCACACGGTGCCGCACCCTTACAACTTGCACTCGCACTTGCTCCTGAATTAGACACCGCTGGGCTCATTGCAAGGGATCCATTGCTTCTCCAATATGCAGCTGCTGAAACATACGGGCTATCCCGTAACAACTTTCAGGATTTTCTCCCAACTCAATTGCTGGTCGAACCGTTTCCAGCCGGATTATCAAATGAGACAATCACGATTATCGATCTGTTTCTCGATGCGATGAAGAATGTTCTTGGCATCGAGAAGACGGACTGGTTCAACGTAACAACCGCCTGGCAGCAGTCTCGGCCCCAGTCCGCACCAATGGATATACAATCATTGCTAGGGAATGTTTACGCAACGATTATTAGCCAACGTCAAACAGAACTAGTCCGCGACCCCTTCTACGCCAAGTACGCATCCATGCATGACGGAAGGCTGCCCGCTGTAAACCCAGTTCCATTAGCGCGATGGGCTTTTGGGGATGCACAACCATCGACGGCATTGGCTGATGCGCTCACGAACAAAACTGCATTCATGGACTGGTTCCAAAACCATGTGCTCAAGGAAGATCGCCGCAGCTGCACATCGGCGGTGCTGGCCTACATTAATGCGCCAATCGTTCAATACAGAAGCACCTACAGAAGCCCACCACAAGCGCCCTCGGGGTTCACGAACCAGTACTTTAGCGTCATGGCAGAGGTACCCGACATAACTATTCCAAGTAAGTGATCCGATCGGACGATAACGGTTAGCTTGAATAGGTCCGTTAACAAGCATGATGCAGTTGGTCAGATGTCTTACCATTCTACAACAACAAACCACACAGAGCAATTACCTGTGTCGATAAACTTGATGGTTGCCAAAGGATGTGATGCTACTTTATTGAATTTAGTCACGAAGCTTTATCATGCAGGTGTGCTAAAGGCTTCAGAAGTTGGAGCAAGTCTTGTCGATGGTGGGGAGATACTGCAGAAAAGGTAGATTGTCAGAATCAATAACAAGTCGAGTCTGAGATTTAGATGTGATAACAGCAGGCATTCATTGGAATGAGAACTAGAAAGAATACAAATTACTTTTATTAAGTATTTTATGCACAATGAGCTAATAGCAAGACTTTTCACCAACATCGAACAACCCCATGTTGACACTGTCTTTCAGAATCCTTCCAAGGTCACATTTCGCTGGAGACTCTTCAGTTTGGTGAGTTTCTCCTGGTCAGCATCCGACAAAGACTCCTTGGAATTTCCCCCAACATTTCGCACAATCATGCCACCGCCGTAAAGGTGGGTGAACTCTACCTTGGCGTCCCATGAATACAGTGGGGATCGCTCACGGAAGCAGTAAGGCACACCGTCTTTCAAAACAAGGTCATGAGTCTCCCGCAGGACTCCCGCATGTGCGGTCTTGAATTTTCCATTCACATCCACAGCCACTGCGCAGTGCCATGGGGTCATGGAGAAGGAGTCAGGCTGGGGAATCATCGGCATGGAAATCTTTGTGAGTCCAGTCGAAGGGTGAATGGAAAGACGGACATAGTCGGGGTATCTCTCACGGATTAGGGCTGCAAAAGCCTGGAGTTTCGTGTTAGCATGCAAAACATCGATCGATACGGGAATTGTTTCGTACCACACCACGAGCAATCATTGCTTTGGCCGTATTATGTACCAAAGCTTTCCACTTCTTGCCACTAGCCGCATTCTGTTTGAAAGGACTAAATGCAAGATCCTTCTTCAGAAACTTGGAGTAGCCATCGTAGGTCGACTTGTAATCCGGGTCGTTCTGGATGTACCAATTCGCATCGAACTCAGAATCGCCATAGCGGGTCATCATGACGCGACGGGAAGGCTCAAGGAGATGGACAAAGTCCTCCTTGGAGATTTGCTCATCCGTATGCAATCCCAAAAGATTCATAATGCGGACGAACTTGATGCAGTCGTAGCCTTTCTCTGCGACCATCTTGCGCAGAATAACTCCGTACTCCCAGAGGCTATCCTCCGTAACACCTGTGAGGTCTTATTTCGTCAGCTAGTGCATTTTCGATCACAGAAATTTACTCACCATTATAACAAGCACCATCAGTCGCAATAAGGACCATAGCACCGGGCTCATAGACGCGACTGATTCGGGTGCACAAGTCGTTCAACCGATCCAAAGCAAGCTCTTCTCCAAGGTCAGGACTAGTGCCAAGAACCTTGTCTTGCGTGTTGATACTCTTTGCCGGGAAGGCTGGAAGAACCATAGGGAGCTTCCTATGCTCAGACACATGCAGGTGGACTTTTGGCCCGAAGACCTTCCTTCCCATGAAAACGTCGTTGCCATACTGCTGAAGACTGAACGTCTCTAGGATATCCATGATGGCAGCGACTGTCTCATCGATCTGCTGTCCCTTTTTGATGCCCTCATTGAGCGCAGCCTTGATGAAGTCATTGCTGGAAGGCTGTGGGATTTGAACAGTGTGTTCTTCCGCGGGTAGGGAAGGTCGTGAGAAAGGTTGAAGTCCAACCTGAACTGGTGCAGTAGAAACTAAAGTCTGAGACATTTTTGATTGGGTATAAAAGAGTTCTTTTCGAAGTTTATTATGTACAGAAAGATATGTCGTGAAATTTGTTAACGAGTATAGGTATTATAAACTAAGTGATGAGAAGGTAATGTGGAAGGATGCTTTGAACTCTTTGAAGGCTGTACTCATCTCTAAAATATCTATATAGTGTTCACTACTGTGCCATTCTTGGGGTTGGTATGATCGTGCGCCATAATTTCACTAGCCCGGAGGGATCGGATACGCCAAAGCGTAGACCCAATAAACGCTTGAACTCCAGGATCGGGGTGACGTTGGCTGATCAACATCACCACATGTTCCATGATGTTTTACTGCATCGCGGCATCACCAAAACATGTTCTCTACATTTCATGGCTGGATACTATGACGCGATTCTTTGAATAATCTAAAACGCTTTTCCATGCCTATTAAGCATAGAATCTCGAGAAAACGCAGCGGAAAATAAGGAAGGAAACCTGCATAGAGGTTTTGCGGTGCCATCATTTGTTGCATAGAATAAGTAAAATAGGGTAAGATTCAGAAAATCTTGGTACGAAACATTCATTTTTTACACCACTTATGAACAGGGCCAAGACAACAGTCAAGGATCAAGGGATCAAGGAAGTTTGTTGTCCTTTTTTGCATTTTCGGGAAAAAGAACACATGAATGCGGAGTGTCTTGGCGATCTCTGATGCGGAGGAAGAAATTATTAGGTACGGGTACTTGCCTCGACTTGCTTCCTTATGTTTCGCTTAGCTAGTACAAGTTTCGCAGATCTCTATTGTTGAGTTCCTCAACAGAGGCCCATCAGGGGCCACGTCCAGCTCATAACAATACCGATCGAGTGGTAGCTTTGGGCTTTGTTGTCGGAGGTATCGAAAAACTACGAGAAATCGGTGTTTCGTTGTGTTGAAACAAGTTGTTAGAGAGCCATCAAGTGTGCGCGAAGAGCAATGGATGCGTTAACGTCAAGGCACATGTCTGTGACTGACCGAGAGTGACAAACATGCGGAGAAGGAGCTCATTTTACCTGATCGCTCTGATGTATAGTACCGTGGCGAGCATTGTGACATCACCCTACTCCCTTCTGGAGTCTCGTCTCGACTCAAAACTCCAGCCAACAGGGTCGTTGCATACCAGTCCACTTGCCTGCTGTGCTGTTATTTCTAAAACTTGTGATGGATTTCAGCACCATTCAAAGAAGACCTTCATAGAAATCACGTATTTCAAGGGTTTTTTTGTCTATATGAGCATATTCCTGACCAAGTTCCGTGCGCTCAATCTCGCCTGGTTCATTCCATGCCCTTCGTCCTGCTAACGTTGGTGTCCGCTTTTCCGTCTTGGGCATAGCTTCATAGCCTCAACACGAAGGTCTTGACTGTTTCCTGCTTCCTGCGTAGTCTTCGTCAATAAACACCTAAGCAATTTGACTTTCATTTTGCACTTTCTAATGTAATCCTCTGTGCGCTAGAATTTTGTTGACTTTGTAGTTTTCTCGTCATGCCGCGTCATCTTCGATCTAAACAGGTCCTTGTCGAAAAAGTTGAATGTGGATGGCTTCTTCCGGTTACCAAGCAGTACGGTCTTGGACACCAGGTGTATGCAAAATATCGACGATGTTGCGATAAAGTGCGTACGCTAGCCTCGCGATCTCCCGCGTCATGATGAACGGTCCCAGGTACCGGATATGCAGCTTCTTTGACGGGAGACTTATACCACTGTAACTTTCCCTGAGTGCCACTAGTCTCCTTCAGGAAAATGAAGCAGTACCAGGTCCGCCGTGTTGTAATCACTACGCATTAGGCCATGTTTCTTCCAGCTTTGCACATGGCAACCACTTCTTTAGGACTAATTTCCCAGCATAATCTTAGGTAAATTCATCTCGTAAGCGACAACTTGGATCCTGATCCAAGCTTACAGCTATTCCAGGTTCGTTGAACAATAGATCCTGTAAAGTTTTCGATTCAGGACTGATCTTGTGATTGTGGCTCTCAAACTCATATCCTTTGAGTTGACTGCGGCCATATTTCTACCTGTATTCGTTGTCACACTCAGTAGTTTAATGGTCATTACATATATCGCTCATATGGCCCTCACTGCTTTGTGGTGATACCGGGGCGGAGGATTAGTAGATGAACCAAGGGATCACAGCTTCTGCTGAGCAATGAGACAACAGTGCGATCGCATTTCTTCTCGCACGAAAATTTCTTCAGAGATTGATTGTGGTTGTAATATGTAGCTAGAGCTACAATGAATGCGTCGCAGCTGCAAATTTAGATAACAAGGATGCACTGGAGAGAACAGTGTGCATACTTGGGAATTTATCCGAATACGTCCATAATGTGTCAGTTTTGATGATTCTAATTTAAAAAAAAAGGAAAGTGAAATCCATGCGCACTGAAATAACGTTTAGCCATACTGGCACAGGCAAATCGTTGTTGATTGATCTCATGTAATCCATTTCCGATGGACACAATATCGATTAGAGCATTTCCTGTTCGAGAATGAACAATTTGCGAGGCGCAAGGTATCTTATACAATTTTCATATATTTCTTAGGACCTCATCTTTATTTGAACTCCTTGATATAGCACACGTGTTCGCAGATTGCTGAAATTTCTTTCTCCAGATATCATACTTACTTGCTCGACATCAAGATCCCTCCCAGTTAAAACTCATGCAAAACTCAGTCTTCCCTGGTCTTATTCTATCTTCTCTACGGTAGTTGTATCTACCTCGACTTCTGGTACAGAACGCTGTGACGGATACCCAACACCCGTACGTGAAAGCTTGAAATCGTTCCCACCAAAGATCAATGAAGAAAGCAACCTGAAAAGCTTGATCAAACAAGCTTGAGGTATCTGACGCCACCGAAATCGATATGGAAGCACCTAAACTGCTTCGAGCCTACACACGGACAAATCGCAGGTCAATATAGTTTACAGTAAGCTGATGTCTCTCCCGTTTCTGTGACATCCACTACTGATTGACAGAAACGCAAAGCGGAACCTTGCATCTTTAGCAAGGACACTCTCATACAAATTATCGTGAACCTTGTCACACGTACCAATGACTTTGTGCTATTTATAACGGCCTTCTCTCTGGTGTCCATTCATATCGTACCATCTTGGTGACTTGTCGCAGCACTACCTGGATTCAAGCCGATTCTCCAATCATTTACTACATCCCGCATACTACTACTCCAATAATGCGCTACATCGTTTTTTTTCTCATCGCTGCATTTTCGACGCTTGCATCTGCTTTTTCAGACGAGGATTTATTAGATGGGTATAAACTCAGCTAAGACAACTGCGCGATTGAAGTGTTGAGAGAGCAGCCATATGCCTACTACTTCTCACGCCTCAACGCAGACGGATTAAGCTGGGAACTTCATATTGACCAATGCAGGTATTTGTACGATATTCCATAATCGAGTTATTCATGGCTTGTTGCTAGTGTGGCGCATAGCAACGACATCAGGAATGAAACTAAGTCGTTATGGCATTGCAGTTTTGCTCAAGCGTCGTGAAGCGAACGGAGCATGTCCGAAGCTACGATGGATCACCCTTTACTTGCGAAGAATTGGGTTGTGACATGGGAGAGAAAGGTCGCGAGTATGACGGGTCGAATTCTTCAAGAGACTCCGAATCAACCAGTACATCAACAATTCACAGTAGATTCATACAAACTACTGAGTACAGTTTCTTGGACCATTATCCGGTAGTAAAATACAAGTGAGGTTAAAGTCAAGCCTTTGGGGCTGTAAGGCTGGGTTTGACTTGAATCACGAGTCAGCAGTAGCATACTTACTAGCGTGTCAGTCCTGTTGACACTCGCCCAGCCTCGACCCCACATTCCTTCACCACTAGCCTACGATCCCCCACAATTCATTCTCCAAACCAAGGGCAAAGTCTTTTGCGTATACGATGTTCACCGCCTATCTGCACTCCCGTTGGTTTCCGCACAAAAGCCTTGCGAGTGTGGATAGGGAAGCGCCGATGAAATCTTGGGTAAACGCAATAGACGAATGTGGACTCTAAATCGAGCCGCGAGCATTAAATGCGTGTTCCATCCCTGGTATATCCATGTCAGCCAAAGTTTATGTGTAAGTACTCACGTCGGCTGACGGCGAAGGAGCTGATAACAAGGAAGGGTATTGTCTAGTGAAACGCTTCGATTACCATCGCAGTGAGCCCCCTTTTCTAGCTTCTTCTCGAAGCCTTCCGCATACCAGGGAACAGCTTCAATAAACTCCAAAACCAACAATATATTTTAGTGAGAACCATTTTCGCCACAGATCTGCTACACACTTATCAGCTAGCAAGATGAGGCTGGTTGTTGCGTCAGGGGAATTTAGGGCTGTCGCGTCATTGTCAGTTGCGACCCACTCCACCCGAGTGCGTGCGCAATGGGCAGGCTTGCGTATGCCCCGGACACTCCGCCGCGCTTGACTATTTTCTTACCAGAACAAGGGTCATTTCTCGGTCATTTAATGATAAGACACACCTAATAAACGGATTGCGTTTGGATTTTCCCAATTGCGTGGCCACTTTTCTCTCCTTCTCAGTCTTTCCTTCGACTTTTTCTTCTCAACATGTTGCCGTCACCACCGCAATTGGGCAGACTCTTTAATTACTACACGTTGATTGCGCTGTGTATGATCGGATTGATCTACCATTTTCACCTGATTCAGAACCACCTTGGAGCTCACATTTCCGAAGTTCCGGCAATAATACCACACAACCCAAATGGAATCCCCAAACTGCTCTGGTACAAATTGGGTCCCAAGGGACTTTCTGAAAAGGCACGGAATTGGACCGACACTTGCATCAAGGGCAACCCTGAATATCGACCACACTTTATGACGGACGAGAGCGGCGATGAATACGTTCGCAAAACCTTTGCATTCCGTCCCGATATCGTCGACACGTACCTCGCATTCCCTATTCCTATATATAAGGCGGACATGCTACGCTATCTGTTACTTTGGGATCAAGGTGGCGTATGGTCGGATTTGGACGTCTCGTGCGAAGGTGTGCCTATGGACGAATGGGTACCACCTGAATACCAAGGAAAAGCTTCACTTGTAGTAGGATGGGAGTTTGATGCAGGCCACGACGAGCCCTACATGCGCCAGTTCTGCAGCTGGACTTTTATGGCTAAGCCACGGTTACCACACATGATGCAGGTTGTTGACGACATCCTTGCAGATGTACGAGCAAAGACTCTTCAGTATAACGTTCCAGTCGAAAACATCACACTGGATATGATGGGAGATGTTGTTGATTTCTCGGGTCCCCGACGCTTAACGACTGGTACCTTTAGGAGTTTGGCGAAGCGACTCAACAGGACCCTTGATGTAACCGAAACATATAACATTTTGGAGCCGCGACTCTTCGAGGATGTCTTAATATTACCAGCACATTCATTCTCGCCGCTCACAAACAGGTATACACCGGAGGAAAAGTTGATCCTGCCACCGCAACTGGTGACCCATCACTATTCTGGGAGTTGGAAGAACGACAAGGGGGGTGAGCAGAAGCGTAGAAGATGAGCCATTGAATATACTTGGAAGACTTTCATATATGGCGACCAGTCGCCATATCCTGCATGTATTCGATGCCCGAATGTCAGACCGTCCCGTCTAGGCTGTGTGATCAGCACGATTCACACAAGCAATGAAATCCAGTGTGGCCAGCACTTCCATTTGAGGGTCAATACTTTCGTGTGTGAGAAAGTGAATAGCAGGGGAATAAGTATTGGGCCAGAGAAAAGAGGGTGCGCTACAGGCGAACGGCGGCGGGATAGGCATGCTTTCGTGGGACATGTGCTACGTGAAGTTACACAGATGCCAAGAGGTTCATAGTCAGTTCGAAGGATGGAATATTTTGGAAACGACAAGGCGGGGGTGTATTGGGAGGAATTGCGTCTTCTTGAATTACCACGACGTTGTGGCTAGTAACGTCAAATGTCTACGTCATGAGTCGCTCAACCACATGGCGACCCACCTCAAGAGCGTAACCCTTCCAACGCAACACTATCAAAACCTCAACATCACCCAGGATATCAGTTCTGGGATAATAAATAATCGTCATGGAGCATTTCGCCCCTCATCCATCCTCGCAATTCGAAGGCTACTATTCCAAGTTCGACCTTCCATCCGGCTCTCACATTGCCTTAATCATCTGCTCAGTCCCCAACGCGCCCTCACGCCCACACATGGTATCCTTCACCTACTACCCCTCAACCGGACACCCCATTTTCCAGCGCGAGCACTTCATCCCGGAAATCAAGCGCATAACTACCGACCCAAAAGGCAAATCATTCGAGCTCCAAGTACCAGGCATGGGCACCATGACCACCACCAGCAACGGCCTCACAAGCTACAACCTCTCCGCTGAAGACGGCAGCTGGACCCTCAAAGCCCAATGTACAGAATACACGGCCTGGCGATCAGACAAAAGCACACCAGAGGGCTGGATGATCCACCTCCCCTTTCCATTGCACTGGCACGTCCATTCCCTCTGCTCCCCAACCACCCTCTCCCTCTCCATCCCCGCACTCGGCACAGATTTCCCCTCCGCAGACGCGCACACCAGCGCGACCATCCACCAAGAAAAAAACTGGGCCAATAGCTTCCCCGACGCACACATGTGGGTGCAGGCCTGGGACAACGACGCAAAACGGGGTGTGTCTCTTGCGGGCGGCAAGATCCTATACAACACTGCTTTCCTCCTCGGCTATCGCTCTCCAGACTTGGACTTGGATTTCGTGCCTCCCTTCTCGGTCGCGTATTTGAATCTCTTCTCGCCGTTTATGAGCGTGGCAAATGATTGGGAGGACCGCTCTTTTTCCATTTCAGTCAGTAATTACATGTACAAGTTGGACTTGAAGGCGCATGCGCCAAAAGAATATGGGTGGTTTGGTCTCGCGAGTCCGTTTCCTGATGGGCACCGTGCGAATTTTTGCAAGGAGAGCTTTTTAGCGACGATTGAAGTGAGGATTTCGGAGCGGCAGGGGTGGTGGCCGTGGAGTAGCTGGAAAGATTTGAAGAAGGAGAGGTGGGAGGGGGCGAGTTTAGAGTTTGCAGGAGGGTATTATCCTGAGAGGGGGGAGAGTAAGAAAGATTGAGGTTTTGGAAGGGGAAAACGAGAAAAGATTGTGCAGTAACTATTTATAATTCAGATCCACATACTGATAGGTTACAACTTGGATGCTTTCTTCTCTCTTGGCTTGATGAGCGTATCCAACTCCTCGAAAAATCGCTTGGGCAATACACTCCTCTCGATACCCTGTTTGCCCTCCCATTCTTCTTCTGTCTTACGCTCCCAGTCCCAGTACCTCTTCATTTCCTTGCCCACCCATTTGCTAATGTGGTCTGCACTCTCTCCGACCTTTTCCATAGGAATCAAATGTCCGGCTCCTTTGACCGTGACATTGTCTACAAGACCCTCTGCACGGCCCCCGCTACCGTTCACGCCTGAACCCGTCATTTGCATCTTCTCCTCAATGACGGCGTCGTCAGTTAGGAAAGAGAGTTCGCCAAAGATGTAGAAGCAGGATGGGCGGAGCGAGGGTAGTTGGTTGAAGACGATTGTGCTCTCGCCGCGGTAAAAGGGTGTTTGAGGCTCCTCGTACGGCGTCATGTCTGCGTGCGTTCTCCTGTTCAGCTTTGGGTTGCTGAGGGTGAAATCTGCAGATGAGGGCTCCTTGTCTCCTGGTCTTGCGGTGAAGTTTGCGCGGAGAAATGTCAGGACTTCTTGATGCTTGGTTGTTGTGAGGGTAACTTCAGGCTTCTTTGCGTCGGGAAACAGTTCTGTCGGTACGTCTCTTAGTCCATTCTGCACCCAGCGATCTAGCACGCGCGGATCCCAAGCTTGGTAGAATTTGCTCTTTGCGAAACTCTTTGCTGCGTCTTCCCGTGATGGCCAGAGCTCTCGGCGCCTTGCTGATGCGGCTGCGGGTGAAATGTTGCCGTTGAGAGAAACTTTTCCTTGGATGACGGGGTCAATGAGAACAAGTGTCTCAAAGAGCCTCGGATGGAGAAGAGCAAGATTTGCGAGCTGGCAGCCGCCCATGCTGTGGCCCACACCAACAATAGGACGGGGCATTTGATCGCGGAAGTGGTTGACCATGTGGAGCAGATCTCTGCTGTGGTCCAACCATGCAGCTGTTCAAAATTAGCTTTTTGGTTTGCACAGTCATTTGAGTTTGCATACGGTCATTGCCCAGTTTACCCTCATTCAGCACACCACTCCAGCCCTGGTGCACAACATCTGCTATCCAGATTCCCCGGATACCAAAGCCGTGCTGCTCGCATCGCTTGAGTAGCTCATCCCACAGCGGCTCGTACAGTTCTTTTGGAAAGCCATTGGCATGCGCGGCAATGATGGTAATGTCACCAGGCTTGGGGCTTTTGTTGCTGAGTGGCGTATATTGCTTGACAGCCAAATGTAGTACTTCCTCTTGTTTTGTTGCCGTTGACCGGGGAAATCCACGGATATGCGAAGCTGGTACCTTGTGTTCGTCTATCCGGAAGTAGGTTGAAGACATGATTAGATAAGGGGTTATCCGGGCGCGACCGTGGTCTGCTCCCGTGGACAATGATGTGGAAGAGAAGTTATTTGTGAAGAAAGTGGATACGGGCGCGATCAAAGTAGATAGATGGATGATCGTAAGTGCCGAGAAGAAGATAAAAGCAAGCGTAGGCTGATGCTCCAGGTGTCGTGACGAGTTGCCGGCATAATCTGGGGAAGACTGCCGAGGTCCATTCTGAACGCGGCGACTCAGTACTGCCCGAGTAAACCAGTAGATTTACAGACCAATCAGCTAGCCGGAATCTCTCTAGACCCTTGAAGTAGTGATTCTAAGAGCGGCCAGTAAGAAAAGGGATATTCATGCCTCCACGCACCTGGTCATCCCATACATGTGACGGAATCGGAGTAGAAGTGTTTGTGTGGGGTATCACGTGACACATGTCGCGTTCGCGCTGCACCGATACGCGCCGCAAGTCGCGCCTAGTGGGAGAATAACGGTAGTTCTGCATTCTCCCCACAACGGCACACCACGGTCAATCGTCACAATGGAGGACACCACTATGCAGGATAGCTCTCCAGGGTTGTTTGCAGATCTCAGTTTCACCATATGTCCCAATGGTATATCCGAAGACCGTATACAAGAGGTATGCGACGCGTTGCGACTTGAGTTTGAGACAGCCATATTGATAGACAGTGCAGATTGAACATGCCATTACTGGCGCACATGGGACGATCGTGCCCTTTGAAGCCCCCAAGGGTCGCATAGATAATCTTCAAGAAATCAACTACATCATTTCGGAGACAGCCGACTTCCCAGACTACTACCGTGCCCTCGATCTCATGGTACATGTCATCAGACCAGCATGGGTAGACGCGTCCCTCCAGGCCATGAAGACGAAGAACCCGCGGACCTACAGCCCAGACCCAGCCCTCTTCATGAACGACATCGTCATATGTTGCGGCGACATACCCAGCGGAGACAAAGAGGCTATTGAAGGCGGCGTGCTGGCAATGGGCGGGCAAATTGCACCCAGCTTGTCCAAGTTGGTGACGCATCTTATTGCGCTGGATATCAGCGAGCCACGGTGCCAGTTGGCGATTAGCAAGCGCCTGCAGCTTACGATTGTGCTACCCCACTGGTGAGACTTGCATTGTGGACATAGGGTACGGCTATCGCTGACATTCCCAGGTTCGATGACTGTCTGAAGGTTGGGCGGAGAATATCAGAACGCCCCTACACGCTCCCAAATCCCGAGATCCTCGCCGACGTTGAACCAGGCGCAATACCTCCAACGCGAACGAGCCAGCAGATTCGAGATGCCACCACGCCAGACCCGCAGAATGAGCCTGTGCCGCCCCCACCTCACCTCGAACCCCCGCGTGCGATCAAAGCCTTTGAAGGGAAAAGCGTCAAGCTTGGAGAGGACCTAGATATCAGCACTAAGCTCAGAGGCATCATAACAGGCATGATCAAGGCTGGTGGCGGCAGCGTGACGTCCAAAATAGACGAGGCGGACATGTACGTGTGCAACTACCGGGAAGGTACCGACTATGTCAAGGCTTCGCAAGCACGGAAAGATGTTGGAAACCTCGGCTGGTTATATTATCTCATCACTCACGGCATCTGGACAAATCCAATGCAGCGAATGATGCACTATCCACGTCCACGTCAAGGCATTCCAGGCTTCGACCAGTACAAGATTAGCATATCGAGCTATACGGGCGAAGCACGCGTTTACCTAGAGAACTTGATCAAAGCGACTGGCGCAGAATTCACAAAGACCTTCAAACAGGACAACACACATCTTATTGCTGCACACAAGAACAGTGAAAAGTGCGAGGCAGCAACGGAATGGGGTGTGAACATTGTCAACCATCTTTGGCTCGAAGACAGCTACGCCAAATGCCGAGAGATGCCACTGACGGACAATCGCTACACATACTTTCCAGCGCGAACAAACCTCGGAGAGGTCTTGGGCCAGACCGAGATAGACCGTGAGGCCACTGAGAAGGCATTCTTCCCCAAGCAAACGAAGCCTACTAAGGCCGCAAAAGTAGCGCCCCCAATCAATAATGCCCCAGCGTCCAATGTTGCACCAAGAGTAAGCGAGCCTCCACCGGCACGCAGCCCGCCTGCGGCTGAGAAGGCTAAGCGTGCCAAATCAGGAGGTATTGTGCAAACCCCAGCGCCTGCACGACAAACAGATGGAAAGGAAAATCATACACCAGGCAGCCGTGGTGCCAAAGACCGGGCACTGTCAAAGCTACACGATGCCGCCCCGGATATTGCCCAATTTGAAAAAGAAATGAAGCGTAAGGGTGGCGTCATACATGGCGGACGTCGACGAGCAGAAGATGAGACTGAGGAACAAACAAAACAGACAAAAAGTGGCCGTGATTCTGTGTCGAGTAAGCGTTCTTTTGACAAAGTCGACGAAGATGAAGAAGACGAAGAGACAGAGGAGGAAACTACAGATGTCCCAACGAAGAATAAGCGAGCAAAGAAGGAGAAGCTTACCCCCATCAAGTTCCGCATGTTGATCTCAAAAGACGAACGATGGACCAACAATCCAGACAAAGAATCCAAAGACAAGGCACGTCTACGCGAATTGGGTCTCTTCATTACCGACGACTTCAAGAAAGTAGACCTCGTCTGCGCCCCGCATCCAGTCCGAACGAAGAAATTTATCGCCTCGCTCGCCTGCGCACCCACTCTCGTCTCAACGAGTTACCTCGACTACGCCCTCAAGCACAGCAAGCTTCCCCCAATCGACAAGCACCTTCTCCAAGACAGGGATTTTGAAAAAGCAAACAACTTCAAACTCTCCGAAGCCCTCGACCGGGCAAAGCAAAACCGCCATCGTCTCCTCAAAGATTGGACCATCTTTTGCACTGAAAAAGTCGCGGGTGGGTTCGATACTTACAAAGATATCATCGAAGTCAACGGTGGCAAATGCTCGCTTTGGAAAGGTCGTCCAACTACTGTCTCGGCTTCCAAACGCATTCTTAATACCTCGGATAAGGAAGTTAGTCAGAACCAAGTCGAGGATGAGGGCGATGTGCTATATCTGATTTCCGACGCTGACAAGCGGGAATTCACAAATTGGAATAAATTTAGGGAGTTGGCCAAGAAGCACGACATGATTCCTCGCATTGTCAAGACGGAGTGGCTGCTGAGTGTTGCTATGGCGCAGTATGTACATTGGGATCCGCAGTGGGAGCTTAGTGAGGAGAGTGTGAGGGCTACGGCCAAGAAGTGAGAGTTGTTCGTATCTCTTTTGTTTTTTTTCTTACGTCGCGAACTAAGTGCGCGTTTTCCGCACATGTAGCGTTGAAGCAAAGCGATGGGCGTCATGGGTAAATCTTCTGTCTTGATAGCGATGCGGAAAAGCGGGAAGGACGGGAGCGGAAGGGCTGCTCATGCAAGAGTATGTGTATAATTAGATAGATGGCATGATGGATGTGGTGAAATACCAAGCACCTCTGTACACGTAACTCTTTTTCTTTTTCTTTTCATCTAAATGTGACGTGTTTCTCTTTCTCTACTAAGATGGCCCAAGCAGAAAAACAATGGGGGGACGCGTACTTGTATGTCTGTAGATGCAAATAGAGATCGCCACGTACGCATCCAATCGTTGCCTACCGTAGGTAGAAAAGATCCAAATATAGCAATGGTAATGCTGCAGAGTATACTGTTTACTGCTTACGTTGGAGCGAGTAGTCAGAGGAGTTCGACTGGAGTTTTTGTAGAGTCTCAAGTACATGACTAAATCAAACGTGTGTTTTGGGGGCCGAAATAGGTCACAAGACCAGCGGCGAGGAAAACACACGTACCTGGTTACACTGCGAAAGCGAGGCTAGATACATTGGGTCGAATACACGGCAGATGGATTTTCTGAATGTGAAGATGGAATTGTTTATGATGAAGCGTATACACAAAATGATAAAGACTAAGATTATTTTTTTATCTAGTCTAGAGAGAGACTATCACCACCAGCCAAGGATCCCAAAGCCATGAAATTTTGGGTAAAAGAAGAACAAGAAAAAAGGGTATATCGATATCGCACCAATCCACCAAAAACCAAACTGCAAGCATGCAAAAGAAAAGAAGAAAAACTTCCTCTCACAACCCCTCCCTGCCTACACCTTCCCCACTCTCCCCTATGCAGCTGTATGCACAATCCTGGGCACCTCCGGCATCTCCCCAATATCAGCCCTCTCATAATACCTCGACCTTGTCGACGCCGTACTCGTACTCCTCGGGCGACCCACACTCCTCAGTGCAGCATCCGCATCCTCACCCTGCACGACCGGACTCAATAGCACCGAACCCTGCGATGTCCTACTACTAACCGCACTAACACTGCTTCCGACACTGACGGCACGATCAGTAGTCACAGCACGCCCGGGACCCGCATGAAGGTCTGCAATCGGATCATGGTGCTCCTCCACGGGGGTAATGTGCAGGGGGACGAGACGCATAGTATCGGTGCTTGCGCGCTTTCTGCGGTCGTCGGCGTCGGAGTCGACGTAGAGGGTTACGCTGCTGGCGCGGTCGCGGCTGAACATGTTTGCCTTGTCTTTGTCAGGGAGGAGGGCGGCGGCGTCGGGTTTTTGTGCGGCGAGCTTTTTTGTCTGGCGGCGCCGGCAGAGGAAGAGGGCGAGGGCGCCGGCGAGGAGGAGGACGCAGATTATGATGAAGATTGTGGTGGAGATTATGTTTGCTTTTGTCCAGTAGGTTGTTTGTGGGTGGGATTTTAGAGAGCCCGTGGGGGTGGGGGAGGGGGCTTCTGGGGTTAAGTCTGCTGGGGTAGGAGCCATCGTGATGAGGTGTTTTGGATGAAGTGCGTTCAGTGAGGGTTGAGTTGTAGTCGAGATTGCTGGGATGGACTTGTGACGTGTGGGAGGAGGATTTAAGGTAAAAGATATACAATGGTAGTTTATGCTCCAATGGTCTGAACCAGGAATAGTGGCAGTGTCGTTTTGATGGTAGAGAAACCTTAACTGGCCTGGTCCCAGTTACCGGGCACCAGGCAGACATATATCTGCCCGTTAAATGAAACATATTGTGCATAGACGCAGTTCAGATCTCAAGACCGATGGCGCCGAATCGGCGAAAAGGCGTCCACTACGTGGTCTCGTTCGTCACAGAAGCAACAAGATGCTCAGCCTCAGCACGTGTGGGGAAAACTAGGCCCTCCGTCTTGAAAAAGGTCACTGCGCCCTTCGGTAGAGGGATGAAACGAAGATGCCTGGCAAATGATAGGCCGTGAAGAAGAGCCGTCAAAGCTATGGCTGCACCCGGTCAAGTAGGGAGATACTGGGAAAGGATTGCGGAGCAAATGGCGGTGGCACAGGGTGGTAGACTGGGTGTGCTAAACACGCGTCTAGGGGGGCGCCATGATCGAGCCATACACACCGACATGCTGCGAGTCGACTTGGGGTCTCCTCACACGTGCGGACAAAAAAGGTTTGCGGCCTTACTGCATTCACGCGTGCAGCTGAGAGTATGAGCTCAGCTGGTGGAACTGCCAACATTAGATGGCTGATGTCGCCAGCACTTGCCCAACACGTCACTTTGCGCTGACCAAAACTGTCAAACGACCCCCAAAACCTCTACAACATGAGAAAGACTGCATATGTTCAAACAAACATGCGGCTTAAACTAAGGTGTGTTGTAGGATGTTAGTTTCGGAGGTTAGGCCAACACGGCCACCAGCGCTAGGAGAAATGAGCGGAAACAAACCACGATTTGGCGGGCACAAGGCTGAACGCTGATGGTCCCTCCTCTTTGTTGCTTCTGCAAGTCTGCCTAGACCAAACCAAAAGTAGGGAGTGGAGGGGAATGTGCGCAAATTTGCCAGAGACGGAGGCCTCATTCTGAGTATTTTGCGGTAAGCCACAAAGCCATGATGCGAGGGGTGGAGGCTCCCGCTGCGGCGCCACGCTGTTAATATGGTACAGTTACTTGCAGGAGAGGGGCTGGAAGACCAATCGAAGACCAAGAATTGCCGGCCAGAGGCTTGTAGGAATGAGACAACTCATCAGATGCGGCGTGGCGAGTTGTGAGAGCAAAGAATATCACCCACTAACCAGCAGGCGTGGTGTTGAAGTGGTGATGTGGGTCGTCCGATAACGGGGAAGGGTCATGCACAGTTTGGACCCCAAAATCTGCTCTTGCCTGTCTACTAGCGCCCTCGCTAATGTGGTTATGCTATTTCTGGCTTCGCGGAAAAACAGCTGCGCCACAAGACCAAGTCACAGAGTCGTCTGTGCAAGAACGGTAAAAGCCGCATACACCTGCTGCGAATGAGAAGCTTGCTTGGAGACTTCCGCGTACATCTTACCTCATGTTGCATATTCCTAACAAGCTTGTCTTGTAGCCATAGCAACATGTGATGTAAGGTTTCTTGTTGATTCAACTAAACACTGAACCTACCAAGAATCACGCACATGACATGTACTTGATATGCAAGAAATCCCAAAAAAACATATCACCGCAGGGATGTTCCCTGATTTTTTTTGGACTTGTGTACATGATATTGAAATTCACTAATTTATTAAGCCACATGGAAGCTGTGTAACCCACATGGACACCACCCCATCCATACATACACACTAAAGAAAAAATCAGGTTATTCAAATTGAAAAAAAAGAATCACAGCAAGGCAGATTCTACACAAATCCTCCATTAAAAAAACCCTCTCATCTATCAATGTAACACTACTTGAACTATTTTACTCCCATTCCGCATCTACCGTATCGAAAATGTTACTCCTCGGAGAAAGGAATGGCATACCACACCCCAACATCAATACTAACATAACCAATAACCCCGATTATCGTCACCACATCAAAAAGCGCCATCTACCCCGTATTCTCCCGTCCCCCAAACCCAGCTCGTTTAAGCCCAAAAACCATACGTATTATCCGACCTGAACATTCAACCTTAAATTCCACATTTACTTCACCAATATCCAACCTCTCACTCTCCTCTACTTCTACTCCCTTCCCACCCTCGGTCTTCAACTCTCAACCCCCCCGCACCGTCATCATCATATGGCCGCCTCCATAATAAACACCCTTTGAACAGCCTCCCTGTTTAGCAAAATCCTTCGTATCAATCCCCCCCCAAAAAAAAATAGTTTTTTAAATTGACCATTATGCAGTCAGCATAATGGTTGTACACCCATCGGACAAAAAACAAAGGTGAGCAGGAAGGCTAGATGTGAGGACGGTGCTGTTCGTTGCAAGATATTCATTTCAAGTTAAATAAAGTGTGGTGGGGCCCCCCTCATGAAGCTTTATGCTACGGAAAATGCCCTTCTCCAATGGAAAAACCCCCCTCGTTTCCTTTGTGTACATCTCAATCGAATAAAAAGAGAACCAAATACAAACAGCTCGTTTTTGCAAGCTGATGGATGAATAAAGCGCCGGTCCCAATGCATATTCGAACCTAGAAGGCCCCCCCCCCCCAAAAAAAGAGAGGCACGTATGCCAAATCCTCATCAAAAATCTCTCTCTAAACCAATCCTGTTTTTTTTCTCTTGGGTATTTGTAAACGCATGACACTCATTCAAGCGAAAGGTTTTCTCTCTTCCAGTTTTCGTGTAGTACAGCAATGGTGCTAGCGGCGTCTTTGCAACGCGGAGGGGCACGGGCTGGGAGGTCGATGACAGCACGACGTAGCACAGCGCGAGCAGGGACGCCGTAGAACTGGATAAACTTTTTGTAGTAGTCGCGGATCAGGCCGCTGAGGATGGCGAAATGGCCAGGCCAGAGCTGGTCGGGTGGAGTGTTGCAAATGGAAACAATCGCTCTCCAGTACTCTGATGTGGCTATCGCAGGGGTCTTTGATGCAAATGAGCGGAGAGACATGGACGCATAACCAGCGCCAATACCGCGCATACGCTGAGAGTATGATTCTGGGGTAGAGTCTGGTCTCCATCCTAACCGTAGCCGACCTTCCTTTGTATCCATGGTGCCACGAATACCGAATAGGGGTGGGCAGGCCTTGTGGAACTTGGCTAGGGCAATATCGGTAAGTGGGAGGCCGTTCCACATGTACTTTTGATCACCAAACAGACTGGCTGCAATTAAGCCAATCTCTTGGATGATACGGCCATCGGTGTTTGCTGCCTCCTTTTCAAATTGTTTGACAAGGAACTTTTCAAAGCAGATCCAGACGTAAAGTAGGAAGGCAGGGTATGCGGCGTCGTTTTCGTTGGCTAGTTGCGGGATCTGGTGCGAAACGATATATGGGCGGATATCAATCATGGGCCCTGGTGTTGCCAAGGCGACGTCAAAGCACTCTGTTCGGAGCCGCTTGATGGCGGCGGCGCTGTCTTTGCGCTCAACGTTGATCTGACCAAGTCGAGTGCGGAGGGCGCGCCGAGCGTCACCAACTGGACCCTTGAGGGGTGAGGATGGTTTTTTATGTTCCTCCCAGAACGACTTGCGGAACTCCTTCATGCGCTGGTGGAGCTGGAGGTATTGGTTGTGCAATTGCTCGAAATTGCTGGCTGGCGCTGGCGCACTGGTCGCCGGCTTGGGCGCAGCTACTTGAGCAGTTGCGGCAGCGGGCTGTGGTGTTGGTTGTTGTGGAGCTTGCTGGTGAGCTCTTTCAGCAGCAGCAGCGGCCTCGGCAGCTTTTCGATCGGCCTCTGCTTTTTCTTTTTGCTGCCTTTCAGCTGCAGCCTCTTGCTCCCGCTGGGCCCTGATCCTTGCCTCTGCCTCCTGAAGCTTCTTTTGGTGCTCAGCAGCCTGGCGAGCAGCTTCCTCTTCGCGCTGCTTTGCTTCGAGAGCTCTCCGATGCGCCTGTTCCTCTTCGCGAGCCTTTTGCTCGCGCAGCCGCTCAATCTCCCTCCGCTGGTTTTCCTCGTGGCGGAGACGAGCCTGTTCCTCTTCCAAGGCCAGTCGCTCAATCTCTAGCTTTGCGGTGCGAAAGACGCGCTCGTGTTCCTCGGCCGCGTAGGCCAGTTGTTCGGCGTGTCGCTTCGCCCGCTCGGCTGCATCTTGGTCGAGCTTCTCGTTAAACTGGCTGTCCGAGATACTAAGTCGGAGGTTGAATTCTAGGGCAAGTTTCCGATTCGGACTTTCATAGGGGTCGCGGACAAGGGATTCGCGGTGAGGGCGCAGGCTGCTTCGGTTCGGCGATAGGCGTGTTGGGGAAGCATCCAGGAAACTCGAACCGAACGAAGTGGCAGTGTGCATGCTAGAAGACGATGTACCCGATCTGGTGGTCATTGTGGCGACGTGGAGGAGGGGTCGGGCAGGGCAGGGCGATTGGGAAAAGGGTGGTTGGTGAAAAGAGGTGAAAGCGGTCGGTTGGGCGCTAGTAGTTTGGCTGTACACTTCAGCACCGGAGTCACGTGAGCGCGCATATCTCTCCGCACATCCCTGTCGCAGCTGTCACCGCGTTGGCGACACGTTCTTTGTCTGTTCGGTGCTGCCACCGTGGACAGCAGTAACGCCTGGCCGCAGCGAGCCATAGCCTGGGACATTTTTTATTTATTTATTTATTTATTTATATATCGATTCATGTATACGCTGATGGATGCATTGACATGCAGGTACATGGGCACAGATATTTGAGTTTGTTGCTGTTAGGTATATGCACGTATACGTGCATGTTCTGCCGCTAGCCTGGTGTTGGCTGGGGCGGTCGAGTCGGTGCCACCTCGATCACGTCGGACAGCTCGATCGTCTCCGTCTGTCGCTATCGAGCGACGAGTGAGTGAGATGAGAGGGGGGGCTCAGGGATCCTTACATGAGTCGTGCCGTTGACAAACAAGTGTGTCGGAATTTCATAAACTTCATCAGACGCGTCGAGTGGAGAGTGTGTGCCGCCGCAAGCTGGTGGGACCGGGGCTCGGTGCACCCTGAAGGCGCTCGTTTCACTGACAAACGACGCCTGATGTGACAGTTTGTTGCTCGGCGCCCTCCATGGCCCACCGTGATCCGACGCAGATGGGCGTGTGTACATAGCTAGGCGAGGGCGCCAGTCTCTCCTTGTGCAGCATAGCAGCCAGCAGGGTCAAGACTCGTGTTTCCACGCCGGCGGTGGCGGGCGTGCCACCGTCTGCGGCCTAGCTGTTGTGATATTATCAGAAACGGTGCGGGACTGCCCAGGCGTGAAACGTGTAGACCAAAACGTGCTGCTTCACCCGGCGCGCACTGAGACTGGAACGCGCAGCAGGCGTATATGTGTGGGCGAGGGTGAGGACGAGGGCGAGACGAGGCGAGGCGAGGGCGTCGAGGTGGTACGCATGCCGTATATAGAGCGTCGGCGCCTGCAAGAGTGCCTCAGTCCCCTCATAGCCCGGCGCTGACCCTCTCTCGTTCGTCTCCCTCGATCCCCGGTGCTTGGTGCGGGTGCTGTGCATTTGGCCCATTTTATCTTCATCCCATCCCCATCCTCCATCTCGTCTCATCCCGTCGCCGCCCCCCAGAGTGACGTACGTGAGCACAGGTCTGGTTTGCGGCGGACAAGCACGTGCCGATCGTTTCCCAATCCGACCATCAGGCCAAGTCCCGCCATAGCCCATCACCACCTTCATCGCCCGTCGACGCTGCTGGCCGCCCTCTCTCTGCCCTTTTCCTCCCGCAGCCCTCTGTGCCTCCCCCTCCTTCCCCCTCATATCCTCTCCTCGATCGCTTCCTCCTTCGAACCACTCTCTCCGCCCCGTTCTTTCGTGTTGGCATTGCCCACAGCAACCCGCTCCAGGGAATCCGCGCTCCTTGACCAGCTCGACCCTCCTTATCACGCCCTCCGCCCCCGGTCACCTTGATATCCATCCATCTGTCCAGACACGACATCCGCCCTCGCCACCCGCAGAGCTACCCCCCGACCCATTGTCTAGAAAAAGTATCCTCTTCACTCCCCAAAGCACCGCCTGACAAGCACGCTTGCTCTTACGTGAGTTTGTCCCCTCCCCGCTAGCTCCTTCTGAAGCATGCCACCTGCCGGCCCTGCGTCAACCAGCTCCAACCCTTCAATCCACCCGCCTCCTTCACCCTCATCCCTTGCCTTTCTTTTACCCTCTCGCTCGCTGCATCCATCCATTGGGCCGCTCTCGCTCACACCCACTAGACTATACAAGCTTCTTTTTTGGCCATTCCGTGTCCGTCCATCACTCCACGACTAGTACACACGCTCTGCAACCGAGCATAGAAAACATTACACACACCCATCCGACATGGATCAACAACAAGGCCAGCAGGGCCCCATGGGTCCCGCCGGCCGCCGTCTGCACATTGCGCATCGCCGCAGTCCCTCAGAGCTGACGCCACTGATGAGTACGTTTGCCTAACTCCCCGATGCCCACTCTCACATCTTGTAAGCTTAGCAGCTGCTGACACGCATGACACAGTGGAACAACTAGCCATTGCACAGCAGATTGAGGTCCTCCAGCAGCAACAGCAGCAGATCGCCGCAACACACCAGCAATATGTCAACATGGGTATGATTCAGCCACAGCAGCAGCTGGGCAACTTTCAGATGCAGGGCCAAATGCCCAACGTCTCTCCTCAAGTCAACAACTACCAATTCGCCCAGCAGATGCCCCAGCAGCAACAGCATCTTGCTGTCCCAATGAACGCTCCCGCCCAGCCCTCCGCCCACCGCCGCAACCAGTCCGCCCTTCCCAATGTTGGTCTGGGTCCCCCACCTGCACCCTCTTCCGGAGCCTCTGGATTTGGCGATTTTGGTGCACAACAGGGTGGTCAGGGTAGAGAGAATGTAAACCCTCGTGGCCGCGGCGGTGGCGGTGCTGGTGGCTCTGGTCACACCCGTCGCCACTCACTCGCTCTCGCAGATGCCAAGAAGGCTGCTGAGCAAGCCGAATCGAAGCGGAAGACTTCGGGCTTCCAGTTCCCCATCCCAGGCTCAAATGAGGGCAGCTCCAACCGTGATGCAAGCCCTGGCGCACCTGGTGCTGCCAACGACACTCCTTCCGGCCGAGGTGGACGAGGCGCCCACGGCCGTAGCCAGAGCATGGCTGTCGGACGTGGTGGTGGAGGCGCTGGTCGAGGTGGTCCATCTTTCTCATTCCCAGCTACAAGTGAGAACCCTACCAACCAGGCTACTCAGCAGGGCGAGTTCCAACGCCGTGGCAGCCAGGGTCATGGCCGCAGCCAATCACGCAACTTTGAGGGCAACTGGAGACAGCCCCAGAACAACAACCAGCAGCAGTCTACTCAAGACAACCAGTCCCAGAACATGGGTAACTTCAACATGAACCAAACCGCCAATGCCGCTCCTTTCCAGCCCGGTCACCGCAGTCGTGGATCGGTCAACCAATCCCTTGGTGGTCTTGGCAACTTCCAGTATGCTGGCCAGCCACAGATGCAGATGCAGTCACCTCAGGCCCAGCTCCTGCTGCAACAGCAGATGTTCGGTCAGCCATTGAACCCTATGCAGATTGCTCACTTGCAGGCCCTTCAGGCTGCTCAGATGCAAGGTGGCCTCGGCGGCAGCCAGCATGCTCCGCAGATGAACATGCAGCAACAGCAACAGCAGCAACGCAAGACACTATTCACTCCTTACCTTCCCCAGGCAACCCTGCCTGCCCTTCTCGGCGACGGCCAACTCGTTGCCGGTATCCTCCGCGTCAACAAGAAGAATCGCAGCGATGCCTATGTGACGACTACTGACCTGGATGCTGACATTTTCATCTGTGGTAGTAAAGACAGGAACCGAGCTCTCGAAGGAGATCTCGTTGCTGTTGAACTTCTTGACGTTGACGAAGTGTGGGGACAGAAACGCGAAAAAGAAGAGAAGAAGAAGCGCAAGGACAACGCCGACCCTCGCGGTGCTAGTATTGCCGTTAACGATGCCACCACACAACCTGAAACTGGCTCTGAGGGTGGTATTCGTCGACGTGGCAGTCTTCGCCAGCGACCAACACAGAAGAAGAATGACGATGTTGAAGTCGAGGGACAAAGCTTGCTCCTCATGGAGGAGGAGGAAATCAATGATGAGCTCAAGCCTCTGTATGCAGGCCACATTGTTGCTGTCATCGAGCGTGTCGCAGGACAAATGTTCTCTGGGTAAGCAGTCACGGTTCACGCATATGCAGACTCTTACTAATCTATATAACAGTTCTCTCGGACTTCTACGTCCTAGCAGCCAAGCTACAAAGGAAAAGCAGGAAGCCGAGCGCCAAGCTCGTGAAGGCAACACTGGCCGAACTCAACCAGAGCGCCAGGATAAACCCAAGATTGTCTGGTTCAAGCCTACAGACAAGCGTGTACCCTTGATTGCTATTCCCACTGAACAAGCACCACGGGACTTTGTCGAGAAACACCAGGAATATGCCGACCGCATTTTCGTGGCATGCATTAAGCGATGGCCCATTACATCGCTGCATCCCTTTGGTACCCTTGTTGAGCAGCTTGGTGTCATGGGTGACCTTAAGGTGGAAACCGATGCCCTCCTGCGCGACAACAACTTTGGCCCAGACGACTTCTCTGACGCCGTCATCAAGAACGTTGGCTTCGAGGACTGGTCGGTCGCCAATGACGGCGAAGAGGCATTGAAGAACCGCCGCGACTTCAGGGGTGAGGAGACATTCACCATCGACCCCAACGGCAGCAAGGAGCTCGATGATGCCATTCACTTCAAGTACCTCGACGACGGCCGCGTCGAGATTGGTGTTCACGTGACGGATATTGCCCACTTTATCAAGGCCAACTCACTTGTTGACCGTGAGGCCAAGAAGCGCGGAACCGCCGTGTACCTCATGAACCGCACAGTCAACATGCTACCTCCTAAGCTATCCAATGATATCTGCTGCCTCAACCCAGGTGAGGAGCGCTACACGGTCAGTGTTGTCTTCAAGGCCGATCCGGCTTCTGGCAAGGTCTTTGAGGATGAGACTTGGATTGGCAAGTCTGTGATCAAGAGCTCTGGAAAGCTGTCGTATGACGAGGTCGACTCCGTTATCAGCGGAAACGACGATTCAGTCTCGGCAGCCCGTGCTAAGGACATCAAGATGCTGCATCACATCTCGCAAAAGTTCCGCCAGACTCGCTTTGGCGATCGCGTTTCCGATGTCAAGGCTCTGCGCCTCATGTACCAATTGGACGACGAGAACGTTCCTGTTGAGCAAAACATTTTCGACTCTTCTTCTGCGCACGAATGCATTGAAGAGCTCAGCCATCTCGTCAACGCCACCGTTGCGAAGAAGCTTGCGGCAGGTCTGCCAGAAAAGGCTCTCCTGCGCCGTCAAGCACCTCCCAACCCCCGCCGATTGATGACAATTGCGGAGCGCATGGGTGCCATTGGATACGAGCTCAACACCGAGAGCAGCGGCTCTCTCCAGAATAGCTTGTTCGAGGTTGAGGATGACGATCTCCGAAAGGGTATGGAGACTTTGGTCATCAAGTCAATGCCCCGTGCCAAGTACTTCATTGCGGGCAAGCTGCCTGAGGAACAGTATCCGCACTACGCCCTCAACCTTCCCAGGTACACTCACTTCACCAACCCATCCCGCCGCTATGCCGATATTGTTGTGCACCGCCAGTTGGAGGCTGTCCTGTCAAACGGCGCCATCGAGTTCACCGAAGACATTGAGGCTCTCGCCAAGACTGCTGAGATGTGCAACACCAAGAAGGACTCGGCTCACTCTGCCCAAGAGCAGAGCGTTCACATTGAGGCCTGCCGCAAGATGGACAAGGTCAGGCAGGAGAGTGGTGGTGATCTCATCGCGGAAGGTATCGTCCTCTGCGTGTACGAGTCTGCTTTCGACGTGCTCATTCCCGAGTGGGGCTTCGAGAAGCGCGTCCACTGTGACCAGCTTCCTCTCAAGAAGGCCGAGTTCGACAAGAACAAGCGTCTGCTTGAGCTCTACTGGGAGAAGGGTGTCCCATCATCCAACTACATCCCAGAGGACGAGCGACCCAAGCATGGCTCACTCCGTTCGGCCAATGCTGCCGCAGCTGCGCGTGAAGCTGAGGCAGCGAAGCAGCGTGCGAGGGAACAAGAAGAGGCTCAGCGTAGGCAGATGGACACCGGCACCATGTCGACTAACGAGGAGGCTGCGCTGTTTGACGACGATGATGACGATGATGATGCCAACGACCTCAACTCGAACATGGCTGGTGTGTCGCTGAACCCCGACCGCCCAACTCAGAGTATGCCCCCATCGCCCACCAGGCGCGATCTTCCTGGCGCTCCTCACCGCGTCAACTCGGATTCGAAGATTGCCCAAAGTGCCGGCGAGGCTGCGGAGAACAAGTTGACCAACAAGGAGAAGTATCTGAGCTGGTTCACCTTGCGCGAGGAGAACGGCGACTACATCCAGGATGTACGGGAGATGACGAGGGTTCCAGTTATTCTTAAGACGGATCTGACCAAGAGTCCTCCGTAAGTTAACGTTCTTGTTAATGTTTTTTAGACTTTGCTAACCGAAAACCTTAGTTGCTTGACCATCCGATCCCTGAACCCATATGCCCTCTAGGCAGCCTGCATGCTTTGACTCTGAGTGCGCACCTGCCGGTTAGGATGCAAGAGCGTGTCTGGCCATGTAGACAGACCTGCCACTTGTTGTCTTGGTATAGAAAATTGAATGAAGGACATTTACTAGGTTATGGGCTAAGAAATGCACGGAAATCTGTGTATTGTTTATGTGCATGCGGCCAAGTACCCTAAGTCGCGACATACACGGTTGCAGCTCTTATATGCAGTAGCGATAGTCGATAGTACATTTAATGTGTTGTTAACCTTGCAAAGGCACGTGTTCCTGGGTGAAGATCAAGCCTCGTTTGACCGTGACAGGCGTGTGCATTGAAGCCAACTCCACAAATCTCACGGGTGCCTGGTAAGGCTACATCTGTGGTATGCCATGCGGCCTCAGGCTTTTGACAGGACCGGGTTTTGACACGCGACATGGCGGTCCGGCGAGCAAGATTGGACAGACATTGGCTTTGTGAGGTGGAAACATGGTCCTGCATTGCGCAAGTACCGGTCTTTGTTTATCCCGGTGGGATCGATTGCGACAAGCTGCCGGCATCCGGACCTCAAGGTGATACTGGGGACTGGGGCAAGGTATCTCCACCAACGGATCTACCACTTCCCATGCCCAATCCGGGCTTGGTCGACTAGTGTGCCTGTACCTGCATTCGTTTCTCGCGCCAAGTAGGACAGCCTTGGGGCCTAAGGTGTCAGGTCCATAGAGCCGAAATGTCAGTGGTCCTACATAAGACTTGGCAACTTGTTAATGTTTTGGATACCTCAGCCACGCCTACAACCCCTCGCTCTTGGTATCTTAACACCATCTATACTACTCATCCACCAACCCCCCAACCCCCACGATAACCGCCGCCAACAGGAATAATTTTCGCGCCATGTGCCCAGAGTGAGTGCACACGCACTATGAGGCGGCTGCAGCCTTGTTGTTGAAACAGTCGCAAACATACCTCTTCTGCTGGAAACACTCTCGTATTGACATGAAGAGCTGTTTGCTTCAAGCCTCATGTCATGAGCCACATCATCGTTCCGCACGGAAACTCTGAGTACCGCCGTCATTATTCCATGCATTATGGCTCGCAGTCGAGTATTTCCAAGGGCGGCTCTGCTGTCTCCGTGTAGGTGTTGGTACTCTTGGAGTTTCAGGGTCGGCCTTCGCGTCACAGGCCCCTGGACCTGCTACATCACGCGCCTCCACCACTAACCCCATCATAACGTGCCAGACTAACTCGGCGGTTGCGACCCTGTCAGTGGGCAGTTCCTTGACGATCAATGGATCAATCCGCCAAGCTCCAAAGCTTCAACAGTCACGGATCTGGTTAGGGACGCCAGTGCATGGGCGGGAGCCCACTGTCCGCTACGAACACTACATCCGTCCTCCGAATTTAGTCTGGCGTCTCAGATGCGGTCTAGGAGTCGCAGCAGTATCTATAAGGTCCATTGGTAGCCCACCTTGTTTCCATACTCGTTTTCAGTTGGTTCATCATCGACGAGCTTCTTCTCTCTTCTCTTCCGTACCTAATAATCAAACCACATTCCTTACGGTTTGCCTTTTCTCAGTCCCTGGTTGGACTTTTTTCTAGACAATTTTTAATAATCGAATCCAAAGCGAGTCTTTGCTGGAGGTCCCTCATTACCAACTTGTCTAACCTTTTTAAACACCGAACCAACAAACTTTAATTCAACACTATGCCGAGCATAACATCCATACTCAAGGGCCTCGTGGCCGTGGCGCCTCTTGTGGCTGCCATCCCTGCCGAGTACGGTCGTCGGGAAATGGCATCGATGCCAATGGCGATGCCCCCAACAATTACCGAGAAGGCTGAGCCCGCAGCAAAGGCAGAGGCTTCAGCAGCGGCATCTCCAGCGGCATCCCCAGCGGCGGCAGCAGCAGGCGGATTGACTGATGTTGACATCCTCAACTTGTAAGTGCATGGCTGGAATTCGATGGTGGTGAGCAGAAGCTAACAGCAACACCAGTGCCCTGACTGCCGAGCATCTCGAATCAAAATTCTACAGCATGGGTTTCGCCAAGTTCCCCATGAGCGACTTCATGGCCCTTGGTCTGAGCGAGGCCCAGGTCAAGAGTCTTATGATGGTTGGCCAGACCGAGGCCACCCACGTAACGACTCTCCAGTCCGCCATTACCGGCGCTGGCGCAAAGCCCGTCGAGCCCTGCGAGTACAACTTTGACGCCGCTCTCGCAAGCGCCGACGCCATGGTCAAGACTGCGCGTGTCCTTGAGGCTGTTGGTATCTCCGCCTACCTCGGTGCCGCCCCTCTTGTCAACTCTTCCGATGTCCTTGCCGCCGCCGGATCCATTGTCACCGTCGAGGCCCGTCACCAGGCTTTCATCCGTATCGCCGCCGGTGCCGAGCCCGTCCCCGCTGCTTTCGATGTCGCTCTTGGACCCCGTGCCGTCTTCACCCTCGCCGCTCAATTCATCAAGTCTTGCCCTCAAGGCTCCAACCTCAACATCCAGCCTTTCCCCTCCATCGCCCTCCAGAACCCCGAGCAGGCTACCATTGGCCAGAACCTCAAGCTCGCCGACCCTGCTCAGCCCTCTGGTGCCATGTTCTGCGCTTTCGTTGCTCCGTAAGTTTTTCACATTCGCTTTTTGAATATTAGATCTGAAGACTAACACTTTACACAGTACCGGTGCCCAATTCACTGACATCACCGATGGCAACTGCAAGGTCCCTGACGGCATCTCTGGTGAAGTCTACATGATGATCACCAAGAGCAAGGCCATCACCGACGCCGAGGTTCTTGCCGGCCCCGCTGTCCTCCAGCCCTCATAAACGCTTTCGCCCTCGTCTTCTCAAAGAAAAATAAGTCGAAGCTAGCGCTGCGAAAGAGTCTTCCCCGTTGTCAATATTTCCCTTCTTTTTAAAAGGGGTTACGTGCGGAACGACTGGAGCGAGCAACGGAAATCTAGCAAGAGACATTTTTTTCACAAGAGCGAAGTATGTGTATATGGACAAAAATCTTTTTTTTCTCTACAGTCGTTGAAATGCAAGTGTTGAAATCTCATCTATAAACTTCTTTTTTCGACTGTACTGTTATTTTCCCTTTCCTTTTTTTCTTTCATCCGCACTGTTTTTTCATTTTCCCTTTTTTTTGTTATTCAACTTTTTCTTCACTAAGACTGATTGGTTTATTTGTTTGTGGTGGAAGACGACGACGACACACATCAAGATACCCTTCAAGCAAAAATGGCAATACGTAGTCGAAGAAGAGGCCGCAGGGTGAGGAAGGAGCAGTAGCAAAACAGGTGTGTAACCGGGTAAGGCAGATTCCGTGAATCATCCTTAACTCCCTTCATACACGATAGTATTACTTAGGTTCGGTTTAATGGCAGGGGGGGTAGGCAAGGTATAAGACAAACTACGATAACGATTTCAAATATCATCCAAAAAAATTCATCTCTTTGCTTTTCCCATATATTTCTCGAGGCACTGATGCGACGCGGAGCTGACGCGTTTTGGGGGAGGGGGGGGGGGCACGCAGGGCAAGTACAGCGGTGAACAACTGGTTGTTGGAGATGTGCATTATTTGTGACAAGTTCGGGTACGTTGCTTGTATTGGAATGGGGGGTGGGGGTGGACCCCTCGCCTCGTTGCAACGGGTGCGGTTTCACCTCGCAGTTTATCGATGCTTCGAGTTAGTAGCCAGAACCGGAGTAAGACGCGCTCCCCCAAGTTCGACAACGTTTCTGACCTTGCACGACGACTCTGCTCGCCCACACACCGGTATTTCCAATAGCACGGGATTTGTCATTGGGGATCGATGTCGCAATATCTATCGCGTACAATAAATTCACATGTACGCGGTGTACTATTTTCCTTTTTTTTTTTGGCAAAGTCACGTGTAAGCAAACGAAGTCTATTTGTTCCGAGTCGGGCCGACAAGCCAAAAAAACCCCAAGAAACCTGGGGAAAAAAAGGCCTCCAAATCCGCATCCGCGCCACTCTCTGATTAATATCCCGAACATCACCCGCCCGCACCGCCATTGACGCTAAAGTGCGAGATCCAGCTGCGACTGATTGGTCGATAACGTGCATCTTTCATGTGGAGTAATACGACCCAAAGTGTTGAGTCGAACAGCCATGACGATGGTCAAGTGAACAGCGCAGCCAAGTGATCAAGAAGCCCGATTAATAAAAAGGCGGTGCGACGAAAAAGGGCGTTTGTGTTTCTTTTCTTTTTCATCATCCCCCACTCCCACACACCCACCCACACTTCTCTCGAGACTGTGGAGTCGAAACCAACGTCATCGTATAAGTGGAAGTGTATTTAAACAATCCGGTAGGGGAATACCGACCGTTTTTTTTACGCACGCAACCCAATCTTCTTGCTTCAACCGATCCAAAAACAACAACCGTTTCTCACCACCATCTCTCCAAACAATCACAAGAAAATGGCGGCTGCGATGCACCAAAACGGAAGCGCATCAACCTGCCTCGAGCAGCCCATCCAACTCCACGACGTCTCCGAGTACCTCGCCAAGCCCCCAGATGCCAAAGTATCAGGCGGCTCCCTACATTCCAATCATCATAGTACTACTGCTACTACGGGCGGTGCTGCTGGTGGTCTGCGGCTGTCTGATACAAAGGGCGTGCAGAGTAGCGATCCTATGGAGAATTTGCCGTCGCCGACGACGCAGGCGGCGCAGAAGCTGGAGCGGTGGAATCATCCTCGCTCCAATTTTTTTCGTACCGCAGCGGCGTTTTGGAGCTTTGTGGTTATGGGGAGTAATGATGCGGCGTATGGGGCGCTGATACCATATGTATGTTTTTGAAAATCCCTTTCTTCTTCTTCTTCTTCTTTTTTCTTTTTTTTCTGTCGTTTTAAGATGGAATTCTCCGGGGATGGATGAGAGGTATGGTTTGACAAACGCGGCTCGGAGAATAAAGTCTTGGAAAAGAAAAGTATCAAGGAGTCAAGTTGCTAACGTGATTTTGCTTTATTCGGAAATTATAGCTTCAAGAGTACTACAAATTATCTTTCGTCGTCATCTCGCTCGTCTTCCTCTCGCCACTCGCGGGTTACACGGCGTCGGCGCTGCTCAACAATACCATTCATCTCAAGTTTGGGCAAAGAGGTATTGCGATTATTGCGCCGAGCTGCCACTTGATCGCGTACATTGTTATTGCTGTGCACCCGCCGTATCCCGCCTTGGTTATTATTTTTATGCTGGCTGGGTTTGGAAATGGACTTGCTGATGCTGCGTGGAGTAAGTACAGTCAAGTTCTTTTTAGGGAAATAAAAAAGAGAGACGACGTTGACGACGAAACATAGATGCTTGGATCGGCAACATGGCGAATCCAAACGAGGTTCTAGGCTTTTTGCATGCTTTCTACGGTGTTGGTGCTGTACTTGCGCCGCTAATTGCTACGACTATGGTTACTAGAGGAAATAGGTTGCCGTGGTATACCTTCTACTACGTTATGGTACGTCGATATCCCCCTTCTTCTCGAAAACTCACATTGGACCCGTCATCTCACAATAAGATGTTTGCAGGTCGGTATGGCTGTCTTGGAGCTCGCCACATCAACGGTTGCCTTCTGGCGCGAAACGGGTGCAAAATACCGTGCTGCTAACCCGCGTACCACGGACACAAAGGACAACCGCATGAAGGAAGCGCTTCTCCGCCTTCCTCAGGCCAGAGTTACTTGGCTTTGTGCATTGTTCTTGCTCGGCTACGTAGGCATCGAAGTTGCCCTCGGAGGCTGGATCGTCAAGTTCATGCTCGAGGTGCGTGACGGCGAGGAATTCGCAAGTGGAATGACTGCAACGGGATTCTGGATGGGAATTACCGTAGGAAGAGTTGTGTTGGGCTTCGTGACACCACGACTAGGAGAGAAATTGGCTATTTCTGTAAGTTTTGGTCTTACTTTTCCGGCCATCGGTACCAGGATGTTTGTAATGAACTGACACACGGGGAAATAGATTTACCTCCCGCTAACCATGGCCCTCGAGCTGATCTTCTGGCTCGTCCCGCAATTCTACGTGTCGGCCGTTGCAGTTAGTTTGCAGGGATTCTTCCTCGGTCCTCTTTTCCCCGCTGCAATCGTCGCGGCTACGAAATTGCTCCCGCGTCACTTGCATGTCGGCGCGATAGGGTTTGCGGCTGCTTTTGGCGGGAGCGGAGCTGCTATTTTTCCCTTTGCGGTCGGCGCTATTGCGCAGGCAAAGGGGGTGCAGGTTCTGCAGCCGATTATTCTGGCACTGCTTGCGGTTATCCTTGGGTTCTGGCTTTGTTTGCCCAGGATTCACAAGAAGAATGAGTGAGGTTTAATTTATGTCTGGAGTCAAGTGAGAGAGGGGAGGTAAAGAAGGCTTCATAATAGATAAAGAGTCACTATCTCGGTATGTCAGTGCTGATTTATTAAATACGAACAAGTTACATTCGCTAGGGAAAATTTCTACTTCCTTGGAAATTGTCATCATCTTTGAAGTCCAGCGAGTACACTGAAATATTCAATGCGACACAACCTCCACCTTCTCCTTCTCCCCTCCGACCACTTCCTTCACCTCGCCCAAACCCCTCACCACCACCTCCACCGTCTTCTCCTGCGCAATCTGCATCCCCGCCCCCGCCGCAGCCTTGACCCCCTCGGCCATCGCAATCACAACCTGCTTCATCGCCACCATCGTATCCCCCGCCGCAAACACCCCCCTTACACTCGTCTCATTAAACATCGGATTCACAATCCTCACATGCCCACCCACCTCCTCCCCCACCGTCTCCACCCCCAACTCCTCAATAAGCCCCTGCGCCCGATTCACAGTCACAGGCTTATGCACCACAAACCCAAACCTGGTCTCCGCACCCCCTTCAAACCGCACAGTCACACCCTCCACATGGCTCTTCCCGTTATTAACCAGCCGCTCAATGCACCGCTCATCTACCGTCGCTCCCATCGCTTTCGCCACTCCAATCGCTTCTTTCACCTTGACATCTTCCTTCACCGGTCCATTCGTTAAGATGGTAATAGACTCCGGCTCCAGCGCCGCCGCCATATGCACAAAATGCGTGTACGCCGGTGAATCGAAGCCCAGGATAGCTACAGCGCTACCGCGCTGCTCGTACCCGTCGCACGCAAGACATTGGTAGATGTGGCTAGGCCAGTTTTCAGCGTACCCCGGTATAGCGGGTAGGATATCCCTGGATCCAGTTGCTAAAATGAGTTTTTTACTCTGGTACAAAGTACCCTCGCTATCGACGATTTCGAAACCGGCATATGGGTGGGTGTTGTTGTTGTTGTTATTGTTAGGGAGGGTGAGGCTGGTTTTGCGCGCGGAGGTTATGGTGGCGTGGTGGAACCAGACGGTGTCGTATCGAGCTTCGATTTGCGAGCGGGCTATGCTGCGGAATTCATGGGGGGCGATGTGGTCGCGGGAGGCGACGGTGTGCATGTGTGATATGCCCTCGTTGCGGTATTGCTGTGAGTCGAGGACTAGGGCTGTGGTGCGGGTGCGGGCGCAGGTGAGCGCGGCGTTGAGACCGGCAGGGCCGGCGCCGAGAATTAGGATGTCGAAGATTGGGGGGCGGGGGAGGGGCATTTTGCTCCTTCTTCTTTTTTTATTTGAAAGAGTAGATTGGTTGAGGGAGATGTGTGTGGTGTTGAGAGTGTGTAAAGATGAGTTTTGTTCCAGCGACATTCTTCACACTGACTTTATATACTAGCACTGCTCGATGAGTCCGCCATGCAACTCTCCAAAAGCCTCCGTGAGATATCTGAGTATGTTTTGAATATGGCAGAACCTGATTCGACATAAAAGTGGTTGGATTTCTGTAAGATGTGGACGCCACTCAGCTTCGCGGGACGGGGTTGAAGTCGCCGATTCGAGTGCTGACCTATGTTGCAGATGAAATGTCTCCGACAAAGTTTCCGTACTGACGTACGATATGAGACATATCCAGTAAATGCCGTTGTATCTGACTCTTTCATTTAATCGAGTAAAGTTGTTGTCATGAAGACGAATCTCGAGACAGTAGGATGAGGGTTGGGTGCGTACTACTGGCGCATGTATGCTGACAGTGACCCCATGACTTTTACCACATCACTTTGGGACTTGAAGCATTGTGTATGGTTCTCTGGGATATCGTGAGATCTCTAATACGATAAATATGGCGTCATGAGGAGCAGTGGGTGAGCTAAGACGCACGACTGTACATGGTAGTATGCGACCCACGATACGAAAATGGCTTACTAAGAACTGGACTGCTGCATCCAGAAGAGCAAGACAAAGCCCATCTCATCTGACTGTTGAACACTGAAATTGGATAATATTCAATGCCACGCTGACCAGAGGCATTACTAGCCATCAATACGAGACCGACGCGTGTCGTTCCCTCCGCCCTCCACGGACCGAGCCGTCCAACACGAAGAAGAACCCTGCTCCCGCGTCGCAAGTACATCACTTGTGTAATCTCCCAACGGGACAACAATAAAAACAGCCCTCCAGCATTGAACTGATTAAGAATTAAAACTAAACAAAAAGCTATATACTACTGCTACTAGCATCATCTCCCATTTCATCATCATCCCAGTCCTCCTCCCTCTGGCCCGCCTCATCTTCAAGCCCAGCCCGGCAAATACAAGACAAAAAAACATTAACAACCAGGTTCTCATGAGGTATAATATCACCCATCAAAACATGTTCGTATCCGCCAGTTAAATCAAACAAAAAAGTTAAAAAAAAAAGGTATAATGCGGATCGTTCCTTCTGGAGGAAGGAGTAACAACATCGCGTCGTGAGAGAAAGCGTTTGTGAGCTTAGCCAGTAAAAAAAATAGAGGCGCTGCCCTGTAAAAAAAAATCTTACACTCTCCCATTTCCCGTCACTCCATGCCATAGCACGAAGTGAATTGGGAAAGAGACAGTGCAAAACGAAGAAGAAAGTAGTTTGCAGAGTAAAGAAGACGAAGATCTTCTTTACAAAGCAAGAACACCGACCAAGCCGACGAAAGCACCAAGACCAGCGCTGAGTGAAAGCCTGGACGCCGCACCAGTGAACGCAGGGCCTTCAGGACCCGTAGCACTGGGGGTAGGGATCAAGCTCAGACTAATAGTGCCCGTAGCGCTGGTCGGGGGCTTAGTAATAGCACTCGTGCTGTTCAAGCCTGCAGTTGGGTAGGGCGTGACGACGGCGCTGGACGAAGGGGTAGGAGTAGGGCTGGGAGTCGACGAAGGAGTCGACGAGGGAGTAGGGCTGGGGGTAGGCGTCTCCTGAGGATAAATCTGGGGCAGGAGACTCTGCACATCGGTGGGCAGCGCCTGGTACCACGCCGGGGTGCTGCTGGCAGAAAGGCACGAAGCCATTTCCGAGGCGAAGGCGGCGGGGCTGGCGAGGGCGTAGGATATGCTTTGCGAAGGGATGGCGTGGGCAAGGACCATGAGGACCGAGGTTTGAATTTCAGGACTGTGGGGTTTTCGGGTTAGCCAAGAGTCTCATTTTGCGTCTGACGTTGTGTTTGTGGAGAGAACGCGTGGTAGTCGCGTTTCTTTTTGCTGATCATGGTTTGAATGAAATGTGGAGTTGACTTACGCAACAGCAGCGACGTCCGCGCTGGCGCCCATGAAGAGCGCACCGAGCGCCACAGCAGCAGTGGAGAAGCGCATTGTTTTTTGCTTTTGTTTGGTGTTGATTGATTGGAAATGAGTGTTTTTGGTATATCTCTAGGATATGTGGCGTGAGCGAAACCCGAAAATGAGTGTGGGGATGAGTGCGACAACAACGCAAGGCAACCAAGAATAATGAGCGTAAGGTTTGGAGGGGGAAGCGCGAGAGAAACAGATTGATGAAGAGGATCCCGGCAGTATTTGAAACTGGGGAGGCGGCTCGTCAACTCACGATAGTATGCTCATCCGCCTGCCCGTTTGGAGAAAGGGCGGTTAACAAGGGGGCGCAAATTTAAGATTGCAACAGCGCCAGTAGGATATAGCCGCGGGCGAGCATATTGAATAACAATCACGCGCTGGTCAAAATGAATCGCTGGTCCAGGACGCTGTTCTCATGCTCTCCTTTGTCTTGATTGGCGGCTAGATTGGCGACTTGGTGTTGTGCTTTTGCTGTACGGGTCGCATACCTGGTGAGCGCAAACACTGCCTCGTAAAACCTGCTCTTCGTCAGCGCCGGCAGCTTCGCCGTATGACCACACTCTACCTGGCATCACCGCTTGGCTTGAGTCTCATTTCCCGTTGGCGTGGGGAGAAGTGGCTGACGGGCCAATGGCACACCTATCAACGACGTCGCTAGCGTTGTTGTCGAATTTCCACTTTATAAGCACAACAGGGGTTCCATGCGCCGTCTCCAGGACAGTCCACATGGTGCTCCACTCAAAGGGAATGCAGGGACGGATGAGGTGCATGCGCCGTTGTTGACAGCCTCGCCGTCAGTCGTGATATCCTGCTTCTTGTTGTTTTGTGCGCTTAGCATACCAGTGCTTTGCCAACAATGCAACAAGGCATGAATCTCCTGAAAACATCGTTACCGCCACCACCAGAGAGCGGTCCACGCCAACAATTGACAATACAGATTATAGTAGTACCTCTAAACTCCAACCGTCGCCCAGATATTAGCCGTACCAAGCAGCCATTGCCGTCTTCCGCATCAAAATCATGAACTTGGCCGCCCGGCACTTCACGCGGGAGGATTTTTTTCCAGCCGACGCTCTCGCATGAGGGGCCCTATATTTGCTACTAAGAAACAAACAGTAACCAATCTCCTTTCCCAAGATCTTGTTCTTTTTGCTCCGGTCGGCTCTGACTTGTAGGTGTAAAGGAATAAGGGGCAAAGAGGACCGTGTCGCGGCATCGCATGATAGCGTGTACAGGTTTCGGGTACCGAACAGAGATGATCGTTATTGCCTCTATTCCATGGCTCATTTGTGCCAAGCACACAGCAATGTGTAAGTATGTATATTGACGAAAAATTTGAGTAAGATCTAGGCCGGATGTGCGTATCTCCGACCTAGTTGTAATGTCTCGCTGATCGCAATATGCTTTCGATATACCCCTTGCCATTAAGGGTATAAGAAATGCATGAAATGCTCTGGTCTTGATACTGTTCTTCTTTCGAGAGAGTTTGGTCCAAGTTGCATTGTGTTCATGCCACGCCCCTATGCTTTCTTGTTTTTTGTTTCGTCCCACGGTTGATGCTCGTAGGGAGAGATCCAGACCCAGAGTACATGCCCACTGTTATGCAATCGATTCTGATGCATCATTAATCCAGGGATCGGTTTGGTGAGAAGACGTGGATCACCTGTGTTGGGAATGACAGGTGCTGTACCGAAGAATACGATGCCGTCGCCTGTTGGTACTGCGAAATCATACTAGCGGAGTTACTACCGGAACTTGCACTTGTCAAAACTCCATGTGCTTATAACCAAGACCGTAACATTTCGGACCCTCAATAAATGCTTGTAAAGAATATAGTCTAATTGAATGATCGCTCAACTTTTGTTTTCTCTTGCCATCTAACATAACAACATGGTCTGACAACTTCGTGACTCGTCACCAGACACTGTAAATGCAAACAAACACAAAAGGCTTTTATCATGAAAATCAGTACATCTAAAACCATCAACACATTACTCATCGCTGCAAACAACCCTTCATCAAATCGACCATGAAACACCTAAAAACTAGGCCTTTTTGGTCTGTCCATTGGTCGCCTTCGCAGCGCTCTTACCCTCAGCCTTTTCCTTTTGCTTCTTCTCAGCAGCTCTCCTCTTCGCGCTCTCCTTCTCAAGAATCTCAATCGTCTTCTCACTGCTTTCCCATAGCTTCTTCTGCAGAAGCTCGTCGTCGATATCTTTCCTGTTCCAGATGGATCGTCTGCACTCCTTGAGGAAATATGCACCCTCGCCCCTACCCCACTGGGCCTCCATGGCAGCGTAGAGGAAAGTTTGTGCACCTTGATCGGCACTCTTCAGGACCATCCACCAAAACGGCCATGTAATAGTGTATAGTGCCAGACCCCAAAGCGTACCAAAGGTCAGATAGCGTCGCATACCAGGTGTGCGTGTCCAGCCCGGATCTACCATGATGACGCGCGCATTCATTGGTTTCTTGTCGGGACGGTCATACTTGGAGAGATGCTTCTGAAAGGCGACAGCAAACGTCATGAGGGCAAGCTTCGATGTTGCGTACACAGTCGATGGCGTAAAATCCAGCTGTCCAGGCTCACTATTGGCGTTCTTCTTCGACTTGTCCTCTAAGCCCGGTAGCTTTCCTCCCATGTATGAAGAGCAGGTACCGAAGATGATTCGAACATCGCGATCAGGAGGCTGTGCTCGAAGCGCTGGGCTAAGAATACTCAATAAATGGAAATTGGCGATGTAGTTCACCCCCCAGGTCGATTCCAAGCCATCCTCTGTCTGCGTTGCTTTTTTCCCAGGGGGTGTCATGGTATTTGCACAGAGAACAATCATGTCCAGACGTCGAGGCGGTGCGTTATCGACCCATTTTGTTGCGAATTGGCGTATGCTGTGCAGAGATTCGAGATCGACATGCTCGGCAGTGATGAGTTCGTTGCCAGTTTCCGTGCGCAGGTCTTCGATGAAGTCGACGAGAAAGGGGTCGACGAGTGGCTGTCGGACGAGGAGGACAATTTGTGCACCGCGAGACGCCAGGCCTCTGACTACTTCAGCACCTATACCGGTTGTTCCGCCCTGCTTCCGTTAGTAGGGTTCAATGTCAGACGCTAAAGACTTACCGTGACCATGACCACCTTGGAGTGCATGTTTCTCTCGGAGGCGTTGTTGGCGCCATTGAAGAACCATTTCAGCGCATAAATGGCTGCAAAGACGGCCGCAGCCTTGATTATGGTCCAGCCATAGGGAATGGAATCAATGCCCTCGGCGAAGGCCTGGGCGATGATGTTGACGGGCATGTTTCTTGGCGGAAAGTGGGAACGGGAAGGCTTCGGGGACGCGGCTCTACCGTGGCTCGCTAATGCCCAAGCACCGCAGGAACGCACGTGGCGTCATATCACGTGACTACGCGTTCAACAGATTGCCGCCAATTCACCCATCCAGACAAAAGCTCATACGCTGCACCCCTTATTGCCTCTACGTAATTTGTCCGCCACAAAAAGAAAATGACGGCATCTTCTACAACGCACGCGTCTAGAGAGCAGCAGACAGAAGATGAGTTTCCCGAAGATGATCCTGACATATCTACCGTACCGTTTGTCGAGCAGCGCGCGTTTGGCCGGGGTCTGTGGAAGAATCCCATTCAATTCGTCTCGTCTACTCCTGAGACACAGCCAACAGCTGCATCGACAAATGGCAAGACCATGGCAGAGAAGTATCTCGCCATCATGTTTCCCAACGGCCAGTCACAACCAGAGCCCGATGCATATCCTCGGTGCGGTATATGTGGCGAGCCTGTCAAGGAGTCAGATCAGCGCATTCACTATCTGAGTCCTGCACATCAAGCTGTTCTCCCCCGCGCACCTATCCCCTCGGCCATAGACCGAACGAGGATGGGGCTCAAGTACATGGAGAAGCACGGCTTTGACGTAGATGCGAGAAAAGGTCTGGGATCAAGTGGTCAGGGCATGTTGTTCCCGCTCGTCCCCAAGGAGAAGCGCGACAAGTTTGGTTTGGGCATAGACAAGAAAGAGCATGTGAAGCAGAAGGCGCTGGGCGGTGCTAGTCGCGCGGATGTCAGTCAGGGTAGACTTGATGCCGGCAAGGTCAGGAAACTTGCGCAGGTCGAGAAGAAGAAGCACGAGAAACTGCAGACGATGTTTTACGGTAATGATGAGGTGGAAAAGTACCTAGGGCAGCTGGGCGGTTGACCACCGAGATGGCATGGCTTCGCAAACTTCTAGAAAGAGATATTATGCTTGTCACGATGGGCCGAAGATACGGCGGGTAGCGATCACAAAAAACGTCTTTTGAACAAGTACGCCAACGCGTACAACGGATGACGACATACGCTTACCGAGATTATTCACGTATTCGGCGGCTTGTCATCGCAACGGCCGTTAGTCTTTAGTATCATCTCGACCTCGTATTTTTGTAATACCGACAAAACACACGAGCATTTCCACAAGAAAAAAAACGCAATGTTGAATACACTACGCTTCGGAGTAAGCCAAACCAAACATGAACGTTGCAGCCGAGACTAGGCAGCCCACCCCCACCCACCCGAACCAGGCAGTCCCCTCCCCGCACCAAATTTACCAACGCCGTTCACAAACGAAACAACCGTTTTTTCTCGCGCTTCATAATGCCTCCTCTCTCCATTCTTTCCATCAAAGAAACCAAGTCGGTCGCTTAGCTCAGTTGGTTAGAGCGTGGTGCTAATAATCCATCGCCAGAGACTTTGCTCCTGGAGAAGGCCTTCAGTTAACGCCAAGGTCGCGAGTTCGACCCTCGTAGTGACCAATCATCTTTTTTTTTCGCGGGCGTAACCCTACCTGGCGAAGGTAGGGATGGTCCGGTTGGCTTCTTTTTGTTGCCAACGGGGGTGCGGCTGTGTTGGTTAGCGGGGGCAAAGGGACGCTACCAGCGAGAAAAAAAAACGCCGAGGGAAGCGGAGATTTCCAGTTACGCTGGGGGCAATTTTTTTTAGAGGGATTAAGGAGTGAGATGGCGAGAAGAAAGATAGAGTCTGGATTTGCACAATTGCGATTCCTGACTCTCTGCGCATTTTGAGCCATACTCTTCCAGCTCCCCCCTTTTTTTCCACAGAGTACTGGAACATGTCACAACGAGCGACTTGGCAACCATCGTCTTACACCTGTAGTAGGCAAAACCTGGAATCAATCTAAGAATAAGACAACATCTTTATAGCCAATGTCACTCATGAATCTCATTCGCGCCAATAATAGATACACCCCAAATTTCAAGTCCGCCATCGAGTTCCTCCTCATCCCCCAACTCAAGCATTGCTTGAAATCGTCTCGTTGGTGTAGTTGGTTATCACGTGGGTCTCATATTATCATGTATGACTGCTTTGTACAAACAGATATCCCAAGGCCGCCAGTTCGAGTCTGGCACGGGACAATTGTTTTTGTTTTTGCAGGCAGGTGTTGTTGGCTGCATTCGTGTGTTGTGTGGTGGGCCTCCTTTTTTGTGGGTGGATGGTGATGGTGGATGGCGAAGAACATGATGTGGAGGGAGGGGGGTCAGGACGTCATGGGTATGATAGGTAGAATGAATAGCATTCTCTTTCAGATAATACTTAGGTGCAATACTATTTCAAATGTACAAATGTTTAAAGCGTATCCTAGGTCCATCAAGGTGACAGTATGTCTCGGGAATCTCGTATAGACATCGATTCCACTTCACACGACATAGCACAGAGACAACAGTAACAGATGACTGAACATACAAATAATCAGCTATCCAAACACCTCACGTTACATCAGATTGACAGATAATGACACGACAACACTCGCTTCTTTCATTATAATATTAACGTTTCCCAACAACATACGTCAATGGGGGCAGCGGGATGGAGAGATAGCCAAACACGCACCAAACAGCCAGTCAACTACAGGCCCAGACTATGCACACCTCCCCAGCAACTACACTACTGCTGCTCCTCCTGCTCACTTCAGCTGAGCCATATACAACCCACACACACAAGTGGCAAGACAAAATCAGAGGAGAGAAAGACACAACCACACCCCCCTTATATCATTCCGTCTTGCCATACTACGCCAATGCGAAAAAAAAACAAGCAAAACAAACAGACAAACAAGGTATCATCGGAATCAGGAGATCAGACGATGGAGGCCAGCAACCAACCGAGGGGTGGGTGGGGAGACAGATTTGGTTGGACACAGACCAATACAAAAAGGAGAATATTGACAAAACAATATGAAAAGAGTGTAAAGAAGGAAAAGAGGTTGGTGTTTTATATACACTAGATCCCTCGGGATCGAGAGGGTACATTGACAGGTGGGTCGATGGGTGATGATGGCGATGACGGCGGTGATGGAGAGGAAGTGGTTGACGCGCTTAGTGCGGGGAGGTTTGGCGTCGGGTATCTGTAGCGACTGAGTGTGGAAAGCATAAGGCCTCCTTTGATGTGGTTGGGTTGAATAATATTTTGTGTCTCCGAAAAAAATGAAAGAGACGCCCGGCGCTGAGAATGCTATGATGCTCAAGAAAGGAAAATCTGACTGCTGTATATAGAGATAGGGACGAAGTTCGGTTCGCTAAAGACGCTGATTTCCAAGACGAGGGATGGATGGCGTGGATGGGCTCATTATCGACGTGAGGGTGCACAGACCAAACGTACAGTGAGATGTTTATCGGCTCTGGCCAAGATTCAGCCAAGACATGTCAGATTGCTCCTTTTTCCCTTCGCCCACAGTGTGTGCAGGACCGGGGAACATGGTGACTGTGCTCTCATGTCCGGCTCGTGGTGTCGCGAAGAATGAGGTGAACTTGGGACTCGGTAGTGCTGTGTCTTGATGCGCTGCGGCACCACCTGGGCCACCTGGGAAGAGCGTGGCGACGCTTTCGCGCTCCTGAGGAAGACCAAGTTGCGGGTTTGCGGGGTACATGGAACTGAACTTGCTTTGTGGCACTTGCTCCGTCGGTACAGGAGGGGCAACGCCAGATGGGAAAGTTGTTGCTGTGCTGTCGCGGATATCAGGAATCATCGGGGTATTTCCCTGACCAGGGTAGAAAGAACTAAAGTTGCTCTTGGGGTAGAACGAGTCAGTTCCGTCGGGATAGTATGAGCTGGTACCGTCGAATTTTCCATGGTCAATCGCCACACTGCCAGTGTAGTTGCTGCTGCTTCGTCGGCCATTGCCCATTGGAGTCCAATTGTCTACAGCCTGGTGAGCGTCGTGATGGCTGAAAGCGGATATCGAGCTAGCATTGGAGTTGGCACGGGCAAGTTCTGCTTGCATAGGCTGCATCTGATGAGGCAGGACGGATGTGGGTGTACCAAGGGTTGGGCTTCCACTAGCTACACTGCTCAGACGCTGTCCATCACTGAACTTGGGAATCTCCAGCGGTGCAATGTGTTGGGATGGGCGCAAGCTGTGCATGTTTGAGCTTGTGTACTGTGACTGACTGGCCGTGCTTGTCCTGTCTGACGCGAATGTAGACCTATCAGCAGGAGGAGCACTAGCGAGATTCGTGGCCTCATTGTTCGCAAAGTAACGACTCCAGCCTGAGCTGCGAGCTCTTGGTGCAGGCTGGGCTGTTCGGCTCGAGTTTTGCCTAACCATAGGCTCGACAGGCTCTGGCTTCAGGTCAAACTTGGCAAGCTCGTAAGGCTCAGAGTATTGCTCAGAGTAACCAAGAGGGCTGGTCTTCTTGACAAGACCAGCTGTGCTAGCATCGCTTGCCATGTTCTTCTTGTGACCACCACCTCGACCTTGAATGATGGCGAGTGATGTGGTAGACTCGTTGTTCTTTGGATAACTGGCTACAGATCCACCAGCTTCCTTCATAAAAGCAGCTCCTCGATCAGCAAAGCTCATGCGGTCATTCTTCTCGACATAGGCGTTCTTCTTGCTCTTGTTCTTCCTGTACTTGAGACAGAACAGAATCAAGATGAGGATCAACGCAATGCCGAAAATGGTTCCGAGTGTGGCACCGAGCACGGTCAGCATACGTCCCTTGTTGTCAGGAGGTCCTGCCGGTGACGCGGCAGCTTCTGTGCTGGTGGGGCTGGCAGAGGCAGAGGCAGATACGGATGCAGATGCCGTTGCAGTTGCGGTTGTTGACACGCTTGAAGAGGAAACGGAATTTACGAGCACCTGTTGCCCCTCAAATACCGCTGACGCGTTCATCCAAGAGTTTTGCTGGGCATTGAACAGAGCGATCGGTTCCTGATCGTTACCCCCGCTTGCAACAACAGTACCATCATTGCCTTGTGCTAAGGAGTAACTTGATCGTGTCGTCGTAGGTGCGAGTGTTTCGTTGTATGGCGACCAGCTGTTCAAGGTCACACGTTTCGTCTTGCCTCCCGTCTTGCCTCCAACTCGAGTTCCCGGGGCTGCAGGCGATCCGTCCTTGTTCAATAGTAGTATTCGTTCCACGGTGTTTGGGGAAACGCTCATATCGAACTTCTGCAAGGCGACTCCTCCTTCCTTGTTGGAGATTATCGAGCATTTGACAGCGTCTTCGTTGGTGATGGGCTGTTGCAAAGCGACACCAAGATCCTGCCATCCAGATGCTTCTGTAAACTTCCAGACGGCTGTGTTTGATGCACCTCCACCCACCAGCAAAACAGTGTTCGCATTCGACTCCATCAACATGGGATTCACAGTGAGCGGTGCACCAGCCGATGGCAGACCCGCGACAGAGTAGGGAGCGACGGTAGAAATCAGAAAAGTTTCGGCGGACGGGCCACCGCCGTCGGCCTGCGATCCAGAGTAGACGAGAATCTTTTGCGAGTCCTGAAGGTATGCGGCGCCATGGTTGATTCGTTCCTGCGTGTTCCAGCTCTCTGAGCGTTGCCAGTCCCACTTCTTCGTGGAAAATGTGTAGTGCATCAAGCCAGGGTAGTTCCAATCGGAGGCTGTTGCATTAACTCTTCCTCCAACAATGAACAGCTTGGCGTCCTGAGTGTTGCCATTGGGTACTGCCTTTACACATCGTCCTCCTGTAAGCGATACATCCATGGGTAGGGCCTGCCATTTAGCGCCTTCTTCAAGTTTTAGTGATTGGAATCCAGCTGGCGAGTATACGTAAAGCGTCTCTTCGTAGATGATTGAACAGTGCTCCTTGAGCGGGTAGATTGGTTTTGGTGTGCCCATGATGGTGTAGATCACGGGGGATCGGGGATGAAAAGCGAACGGAACGAGCGTTTAGTGTCGAC